ACAATTATTATTTTGAAGATCTCATCTATTTAAAGCCTGGTATGTATATATTTATTTTAATTGTAATTGTGAAATGTATATATTGTAATTATTGCAATTGTGAAATATGCAATTCATGAATTTTCTATTGTATAATATTTCTCTTTGCTATTTGTATTATAATCATTTTATTTTGTTATAGGTTTCTTCTACACCTGAATAAATATATAAACATTATCAAAGTGTTTATTATTGAATAAACCCCCCACTACAATTATCCACAAACAATATCCGAGCCGGAACCGTCCATATCTGCAAACTATAAAAAATGACAACTGTAATTGTGCTTAAACTGAGATCGATCTCCTTCTTATATTTGAGACTTTTATTTTAATTTCTGCGATTAATTCATCTATATCGAAACTTCATTTAATATATTCACGTGAGTATGTATTCTGCTATCCATAGGGGCTTAATTCTATGTAGGACCTTTTGGCGGTATTTTTCTTTGAACGTTTAAGGCTAAATGCATCAATCATGATTTTGTTCAATCAATATCTAGGCTATAACCTGCATAGATATTGCTTGCACATAAAATATTGCGTGGGAGTTATCAACAATAAAAGTACGCGTGGGAGTTACCCAAATCATTTTTCTCTTGTGTAGTAGAATAGAAAATGACCAGTCAACATTTAACATGCCCAATATTTACATTTTCAAATAAAGAAATTCTATGAACATTTTCTCTTTGCTAACGCGACGTACTTTAATCAAATTCATAAAAAATACAAATTTTGCGTGAATGTTACCCGAAAAATAATTGTTCACATTGAAAATTTCTGTTAAATTTTTGAGTGTTTGTAAAAGCTATGAGCACAGGGGTGGAAAATAAAGTATAGGCGGCAACAATTCTTTATTCCGCGTAGGCTGCAACAGGTCTCGTATGTAAGTAAAAGGGATATAATAAAGAATTACCTGAAAAACACATGTGAAGCGAGGTTTTTAGGCCGCCATATTGTCTGTACGCGTAACCGTAAAAGTCACGTGATTCCCTACCGTGAGATTCAAGATAAAAGTAATAATGTGCATGTTATGTGCGATATAAGACGGATTTTGCAGTATTATTTTTCACCATATTTCTATTGCGTTACTAACGCAGCAAGGGCTTATTTTGCATATTTTTCAAAATGTTTTCATGAAAATTAGCAAGAATCTGGAGGTGTACTGTTTTAAGTCCATCTAACATTTTATGTTTTTAGCCTTTTTGAACTTCAGTGAAGAACCTTTAATAGTGTTTTTAGCTGATTTAATCTTAAAATCATTGATATGAATTTTATTTTGCTACAAATCGTATCATTGCATTACAATGATACTCCTACTGATATCTCTGGCAAAAAAACTTAATTTGGGTGGATGAGCGACTTTTATTCATCTGTTTTACTTTTAAAAGACCATTAAACCTTTCAATACTGGACCCGACAGTATCGTGGCTGATAATTTGCAATATAACCACTTTGTCGTATGTATTTTCATGTTTTAGCCTGGCGCCTAGAGGAGAAATCAGCCACCATACGAAAATGATTCGATTTTGTCACCAGTAGGGACTAGGGAGCCAGGCTACTCTATCCTGTCGTCAGATTTAAGAAAGAAAGAAGCTAAAAAAATTATTAAAAGGTCGATGAAAGGACGAATAGCTGAAAGCATATAAGAAAGAACCTATAGAAACATTGCTTTAACCTAACTACACGATAACACCATATTCCTTCAAGACAAGATAAATCATCTTAAAAAGATACTATTCCTGGAATGAAATCAATCATTGTTACAATGATTTTTTATGCAATTTACCCTTAACCATTGGCGCTTTCAGTCTGATTAACGTATCAAAAGAATCATAGGGCTATATTATAAACCATTATAAAACAATTGATCATGTCTAGTTATCCCAGACAGTTTCACTCGAAAATGATAATTGCTTTATGATTATGGAGTAATTGATAATAAGTCTTTATATCACCGTGTAAATTGTTTCATCACGTTGCCAATTATCTTATAATAGTGGACGTCCGTCCATTTCACATCTGATATTTTCATATACATGTATCATAGAGTACGGCAATTCCTTTCATGAATAAAGTAGCGAGTATGCAACCTGGAAAAAACATTCTATACCGTATAAAATAATATATTCATCTACTCTGTAAACAAAAATATATTATCATATTATGAGGTTATCAAAATATATTGAACGAGGCTCTTGCGTTTTGCTGCTTTGTGCGAGTCCAATAGAATTAATAGTGTTCTCAACAGCGTATAATAAACACTTTTTTTCTACAGTACCGTGGATTTTTAATGGAACAACGATCACGTGGTGCAAACGCTGAAAAATCATCGGTTATATTTTGTAAGGAGTGAAATATAAGTAGTTATAATCCTACTTTATGGCTTCTTCTCAAAATTTGTCCAGAGGCGTGCACGTCGCGGAGAAGGCACACGGCAGGTCAAGGTCAAGTCATCTCAAGTACCAGAGACGATTGGTTGACCTATCGTGACTAACTCGGGAGGGTTTGCTGCCGTCACGGAACATGATGCTTTGCCAGTATTGTCTTTTCCTCAAACGAACGAAGAACAGGATTAGGAAGATCGGCTTGAAAAAGACGTCCCCGATGAGACTTCTAGAGTGGACCGGCATGGACGCTGAGATCTCGGACATATGGAATTTCCGGCGCCGAGCTAAAATAAACTTAAAAACACACAATTTATGGCTTCTGTTACGTATATTAAATGCATTCTTTATCGGCTGTATGATAAATTGATAAAATAGCATTTATCAGCTGTAAAAGTGTTACGGCCTTGCTTTATTATCAACTTTTGTTTAAAGTTTTAAAGCCTTCTTTATATAAAAATTGACACAGTTTCAGATATTGACATAAACTTGCATTACCATAAAGAACATATTGGGACAAAACGGTAGAATTGAAGCTAAAATACTTAATGGATCAATGTAGAGAAACCAAAAGATTGGTTCAATTGTTTAATGTCATATTTTCTACATGCTACTATTTGAGTCATACTGCAGGGAAGGAGAAATAAATCTGAAGTTATTTTAGGCATTAATATCCAATATTATCTTCCTTGCAGGTAGCATGATTGGGACACGCACGATAATACATTTCTATACAATTCTTTTAAATCTTGACAGAGTACCCCTGAGATTTTGAAATGTACCCAAACCTTTCAATGACAAGGGGTGCATGTACCCTAACATTTAAAACTATCTTTAAAGCATCTAGTTTATATAGCATTTGGTTTCATATACTTTATTATGTAACAACTCGGCAATCTCCGCCAAGTTCAGAAATTGACTTCTTGAAGTCGCTCTCGAGGTGTTCCGATTGTATAAAACCTTAAATGCCACCCAACATGGCAAAATTCAAAATGTAGGCTCGCTTTGATCCAGCCTGTTTAGGTAATCTACATGTCCATGTAATGGTGATGATAGTATTTTTCCTGAGGATAAATGCCAATCTCCTACGTAGTGATCTACCCTTATCAGCACAAGGATATCTGCCATCACAAAAATTTAAATTATCAAAATTTTGATATTTTATATTTTTTAGCTTTTGAATATATATATCATTATTTTGTACACGTTTGATAATTTTTTGATAAACTATAACGAATGTAGGTACGAAAAAGTTTTAAAAAAAAGATTTTCTATGTAACGGTCGATATCAACATTTGAATTTCGACGTTACGTCATGTGACTTTCATTATCATGTGACGTCTGCGAACGCAGTGATTACAATCTAAAAAGGGAGGTTATCACTGTAAGGAGTTTGGATAAATGCAGTAAGCCATTTTGAATCCACCGGAGCACAATTCAGCTATTGCGTTGTTCCTGGGCGGAAACAACGGCTTGCCTCAGACGGGGTTTGAACCCGCTTGACTATCTAGAGATCTTTAGATTACTAGTCCGTATATGATGTTACGCAGCGACTTTAATAGTACATGCATTTGATGTCATTCTTCAGAACTAGAAACATTGGCTTCAGGTTTAGATGTTACAGTTATATTAAACACTCAACATCAGCTGATATGTACGAAAGACCGTAGGGGATATTTCAACTTCATGAATTCCCGATTTCAACTTTCAACTTCATGAATTCACGATTTCAACTTCATGAATTCGTGAAGTTGAAATCGTAAATTTATGAAGCTGAAATCATGAATTCGTGAATTCCATATGTTGAAAACGGGAATTCCCGACGTTAAATTGTGAATCCATGAAGATCTTTCGTAGATATGTAAGCATATAATAGACTTCCTTCAAGATATTTCTTCAAACAGGAAGTATTTTGAGTCGGGTCGCTTTCGTAGAAATTTGTCAATAGGTGTTTTGTGTTTATATAAGCCGTTATCTGTATTGATCACAAAATTATAAGTTGTTTGCATGTATTAGATTTACGATATCATTGTTCCATATCATCGAAAATGTATTTTATATACAACACTGGAAATCGGCACATATAATAACATAAAATAAATTTTATTAGGCTATTAAGTAGTAAATTGTACTTGAAGTATAATGAGTGTCTTATCTGTTTTAGGTGTTTAAATTTATATTAAGTTATAATGAAATTACAACTTGTTTTAAATGTTTAAAAGGCAGGTGCGATTGTAACAGTGTACATGTCCTAAGATCATTTTAGAGAATGAAACGCTTCACCGTAAGTTTGAACACATTTTGACGTCTTAACATATGTAGGCCTACTAAAATATGTTTCTCTCACATTTCCAAAAAAAAACTTGTAGCATTTACACTTCCATACAAAATACTAATTCACTACAACTGTACTATTAATCAAAACGCAAAGGAAACAGAAGATGGCTCAGAAATATGACATGTAAGTCACTTTTTGAAAACTGTAAAATGACACCAAAACTAAAAACTTTTTGAAAAATTATAATGATAGCATTGATGAGGTTTAATGGGCCTTGAAAAAAAATGCAATAAATACTGCTGTCATTGTATTTTATTTGCTGTGCAAATAATCATCGTTTTATATAGATACAAAAACTACAATATGACATATCTACATGCCTTTATATAATAACACCACATTGATTTTCATAAATTTGTCACGTCAAAAATAAACGACAGTGAATCTTTACAGTTATGTTTAAAAACATTCTTATCTCCTATCGATTTTGTTGTCTTATCAAGAACAAACAAAATGTGTCAAAGTTATATATTTCGCTCATACTTAAAATTTTGAATAAAGTGTGATTATTTTTTTATTTATTTGTATTTGTTTATTTACTCATTTATTCATTCATGCATTTATTTATTTATTTTTGTCTATTTATTTACTCATTCATTTATTCATTCATTCATATATTCATCCATTCATTCATTCATTCATTCATTCATTCATTCATTTATTTATTCATTTATTTATTTATCAGAAAAAAAATCACAATAAACGGTGTTCAGAGCCATATAGTTTTTTTTCATAAAATATAACAAACTGTTTGTACTCTGTTAAAGTGCCATAATGAAACGGTTTATAACAACACTTTCTAATCTTCATTGTTTGAACTTTAGGTCACATCATTTGCCCTCCAATCCAGTTTTTTCAGCATCTGTCAGGTACTGTTGGATTAACTCTAACGTTTTGTCCCATAATTCCTTCTGTCTTTCTGCGTCACGTGACGTACTCGATGACATTGTTTGCTTACAGTCCACCCAGTAGTATCCTGACACCCCTTTCTGTTTAGGATTGGTCGCAAGTTCAATTCCGGTGGTGGCGCCCTCTAAGCTGGTTCTCATTGCGCCTATTTTTCGTACACATCCTATACAACATCTATCAAAACAACTTTCAGCTTCGTTGAATATTTCTGTGTCAACAAGACCCGGATGTAGGCTATTGAATGTGATGTTTGAATCTTTAAATCGACGTGCCATTTCATACGTCTGCATAACTTGGTACAATTTTGATCGGGAGTAATACTCGAGCTCAGGATGCTTCTCGAACTTTTCGTCATATTGCAATGTATTCAGATCAAAGATGCCGCTATCATGAGCAATACTCGACGTGAAAATAACTCGACAATCCTGCCCAGACGCTCGCATTGTCGACAGTAATTTGGCAATGATGACAAAATGACCTAGATAATTGACTTGCAGCATCATCTCGAAGCCATCTTCAGTTTTTCTGCCATGGCTGTAACATATACCAGCGTTACAACATAGCACGTGCAATTTACGCCCACTTTTCCTGAACTCGTCACAAAATTTTAAAACTGACGTAAACGACGCTAAATCTAGTTCCATGAATTCAACGGCTAACTTTGGGTTTTCTGTTAAACCCTTTGTCCCCTTTCCCTTCTCAGACTGGAATTCTTCTTGCATTTTCTCAATGGCCTTTCGTGCTCGAACCTCCGACCGGCACGCTATAACGACTTTACCGCCCATCATGGCGCACCATTTAGCCATTTCATACCCGATGCCGGCATTTCCCCCAGTTACTACGAAAATACGATCATCCGGAAGTGGTTGAACAGGAAAGGAAGGTTTCCCACCCATTATGATATAACTTCTAGTGTACCTAAAATATTAATTCTATAGTACAAAACTTGACTGAATGTGGCAAATACAAGAAGGCTAAAACACGAATAGATCATGAGCGATTAACGCGAACTATTTTTAGATGTAATTGATTAAGTAAAAAAAATCTTTTTATGCAAACCAGAAAATAACCCCTTACAATTCATGCATTTTTGTTTAAAATATCACAACGGTCTGCAGTAAGGTATATAGATTATATTTCATTGTTACAGCCAACTAAATACTGTGTATATATTGTAACTTTTCTAATTATTGTGAAATGTATGATTATCAAAATTAATTACCAGTGCCGTATATCCAACAAACTATAATCAATGTTCCTACACCATGTATTGTTAAACAATTTTTATCACGTTTATAAAAATCGACGAATTTTATCTAAAGAGTTCAAAATTGAAGTATTGCGATTCACAACAATCGATCAATCTGTTTACCTGTGCGCATATTTACATATATGGGTATTTACAAAGGGGTTTTATAAGCCGTCAACAAAGTAGTGATTTACTATTACGTGGTTAACTTAAAGGAACTCCACTTAGGTCCTAAAGCTTAAAAACATAAAATTTGAATTTCGAACATAGATAAGCTAGAGCACTTAAAATAGACAGATATGCAGAAGATAGTTAAGAAATATACTCAGATAGAATTGAAAATCGTATTATTGCCCTTTTTTTACACGATTTGGGTGAAAAGCGCTGAAACGCTTTTCAATTTCGGGTCATTTTGCTAAATTAGAATATTTTTTTCTGGAAAACGATCTGAAACTTTGCACACAAGTTATTGGTCTAGATCTGAAACAAATGGAGCATTAAACTCGAAAAATTATTTCCAGTCCCGTCATGTCAAAATGCTCAGTGGAGTCCCTTTAATATGTTAATTGTTAAACCTTTTTACGAATATCACGTGATTTAAAATATGTGATAAAATGTACGATTGTTTTATTGTTTCGTGTCAAATTGAATTTTATTTGAAGTTTGAAAAGATCTTGTTTGTAATAAACGACATTTCGCAATATCCGATTTAGCTATTATGCACAAAATAACGATTTAGCCGAGTGTTTAAACATATTCAAAAAATGTGTATTCAGACGTTACGATGTAAGAAGACAATGACTCCAAAGTGGGCATATTCACGGTAAATAAACAAGTCATTTTTTTTAAGAAAAAATAAATATATATTGTACATTAATTTCAGGACATAATATCATAGAAAACCGACAAATTTCCGACGAAGAATAAATGTTGCCGAACTATTTTTACACAGGTCTGTTATGATACTTAAAAAGTCCAAAGTTTGAAGTTTACTTCGTGAAGGGTTTTGTCGGGTTATAATTTAACACCATGCTAACTATTATGCCATAAAAATGTTTAAATTGGTAAATATATTTTGACCGATTACACTATCAAATGTCAGAAACCACTTTAATAATGAAATACAAATGTACACTCAAATTTGTGTATAAAAAAGTCGCCATAGTTTGCAACAAAAGAAAAGGTTCTACCGAGATTTGAACTCGGATCGCTGGATTCAAAGTCCAGAGTGCTAACCATTACACCATAGAACCTATACATAAACTAGTTTATCTTGTATACAAAGGTAGATTCTACATTGAATTAAATTGAACGAGTTAAATAAAATTATATTATACCTCTAGCGAGCGTTCAAGGGTTTTATAAATTTATGTAGTTATAAAACTATACAAAATATAATATTCTATTTATAACATATCCAAATAAGAACTGTTTAAAGAAAAAAAAATGACTTTTTCATTGACGCGTTTATAGTTTAACGCATACATTTAGGGCGTCTTTTACGCTATGCTCGTATTACTCAAATGACGGTACAACTCAAATGACGGTACGTCGAAATACATGTATATGCAATACTGTTTTTACGTAGGTGATAAATAAATATATTGTTTCGATCGAACAGATCATAGATCGATTATATTGTAGCTACAAGCACATGCCCAAGGTCGCCATTCATATAAAAGTAAATGTATTTATTTTCGATCGTATGCCGTGTCTGGTATCTGGCTGATCACCGTGAGTTGGTCTGTCAATGGCATGCACGTAGCTTTCGTGCATGGAGTATTATTTAAAAAATGGTTAATGAACCTTTTTCAGGCATTTACATCTGCAGAAGCCCTCGTTCGCATTTATGGCCCGAGCCCGTAGGGCCAGTGGCATAGTAGGTAGCAAAATGAAAAATATGGAATGCCACAAAGGAATAAAGGATTTCATTGAGTCAGCATCGGAAAACAAATCAACGATTAAAGAAAACATCTCTTTAAAAAATGCGTTTGTTCGTCCGTTCGTTCGTTTTGTCAGTTTATAAATCATGCTGACACTAAAAGTCATATCGGTACTTCCGGGCTTTGACTGGTGGAGAAAGAAGGACCTAAGAAGCTCTCTCGTGCATTATTTTAAGCACACGCGGGCACCTGAGTTAAACCGCCGAATTTTAATCAAGTGATTTAACATCAAAAATATCCATTATTAATCTTAAAGGGACTCCACTGAGGTTTAAAAGCCTAAACACATAACATTAGAATTTCTTATATAAATGAACTGGGGCGCTTTAAACAGAAATATATGCAAAGATAGTTAAGAAATATACATAAAATAAATCGAAAATCGTAGTTTTATGCTTTTCTTAGCCTAATTTGAGTGAAAAGTGTTTAAACGCTTTTCATTTTAAGTCATTTTTTACAATTTGAATAATTATTCTGGAAAAACGATGTGTGCGAATGATCTGACATTTTGCACAAAGATTCGTGGTCTACACCTACATAAAATGGTACATTTATCTGGAAAAAACTATTTTCAGTCCCATCATGTCAAAAAACCTCAGTGGAGTCCCTTTAAGAAAAAAAATATCTTACCAGGCTACGATGTCCAGAAGCACACAGAAATAGTCAAACAGGAAAAAAGATGTTTGCACCAGACTCATGTTCACATTTTGGATTTGTAGGAACAAAATAATCACAGAAATAGATGATACAAAAGAGAAAATCATTTTATTTTGGATTTGTGCATGGTACAAAATTTATATAAAATAAATATACAAAATATAAATATGTCATGTTCATATTCAACAAATAACATAGAATTTGATTTATTCAGAAATGGAGAAAAAACAACAATGTTTTAAAGCTGCATGCCTCAAGATGAGCCAAAATATTTAAAGAAAATCATAAATGACAAAAATTACTGAGATTTTAAGAAAAGTAAAATGATTCAAGATAAATGTTATGTGCCATTTATGATCAATTTTGCAGTACCTTTTACTATCTTTCTACTGCGTTATTAACGCAGTAAGGGCACATTTTTCATATTTTGACCTCTTTTTGGTACATTTTATGGTCTGTAATTCCCGTTTGCAATTTGAAAATTATTTACTTTGTTCACTTCGCAATATTTTACTTTTAAATACATTTTCAAAATTTTCATGAAAATTAGCATGAATCTGGGGGCTTGCTGATTTAAAAAAAAATACTGTCACTTATACAGTAATTTGGCAGGGTATAAAACAGTACAGTATACCATCTTTAAAATTACACCATTTACATGATACGCGAAAAACTTATGCATGGTTCGGGGCCTAACTATTTTTGGTTGTAGTCAATGTTCTGCGCATGCCAAGTTTCGGTAATTGCGAAACAATTTGGAACCAGAGAGACCGGTTCTTCCCGAGTAAATTCGTAATGTCACTAAGGCCTAACCATTGTATAGGTTTCCGTGTTGTCTGGTCGAAACACTATGACCATAGCTAGCGTCCGAACCCTGCCATGGTTGAAATGGTTGGTTAGTGTTTTATCTTAATTGAGGGAGGTCAGTCACGATAGGTTTCAATAATTCAGTCTTAATGAAATTTATCCCCCTTTGTGGCTTAATTAATTTCTAGTTGTCCATGTATTTTCCTTGCTAATTTAATTGGCATGTAGACAAATAATACATTTCATAACGTTGTAATCAAGTAGTACTTCCGGGATAGAATCGATTACGTATAGTTTTCCGGTAAGAAGCTTCCGCTATATAACGTGCATTTCCGGGCTAAGAAAATGGCTGACAGTGATTTGATTTATACACAATTTATTTTAGTTCGTTTGAGTTTAAAGCTAAATGTATATAAGCTTAAGAGCACATTTTCAAATTCGTTCCTGGAATCAATCAGTGCCAAGTAACGAGTGTGAAGTTTATAACAACTATTGCCCCTAACGGCGTTTGAACCCACGAGACCAGCAGTCCTTAAATTACTAGTCTAGTTGCTTCTTTTATGACAAAATAATTTCACATTCAGCGCTACTTTTCCTCAAGTGATAAACATTAAAACATGAAATCAAAACCATTTTTAACTTAAGCATATCACCTTTGACCTTTCCAAAGAAGGAGGCAAAATGTACCTTTTATGTGTCAATTAAGAAAACAACCATTGTTGATCAATGTAAAGTACGCTTTGTTTGTGAAGTATAACATCTTTCTAAGAACACATGCTTCAGTTCCTTAATTTGACAAAAATGTTCAAAATTTCAACCAATTTAAACAAAACAAGCTGTAACGGCATTTGGTGCAGCTGTATATAGATGAAATCGAATTATGTTATTTATATGAAGTACTTATAGTTAACACTTTTGTCTATATGTAGCTGTTGATTAAATTGAAAGTTCTGTTTTATGTGTCCCCCTCCATACCAGATATTTCAGACTCGGTTAGGTACTTTTGAATGAACGGAAACGTTGCTTTCCAAAGCGCCTCTTGTTTCTGCTCGTCACGTGACGTACTTGATGACGTTTTTATTTTACAGTCCGTCCAATAATGCCCGGACATTCCGGCGCGTTTTGGATTTGTGGCAAGATCTATACTAGTACTGGCTCCTTTCAGAGTAGTTACCATAATCCCGCAACAGCGAAAACACCCCAAACAACACTTAAAGATACCTTTGTCTGCTTCACGGAATAACTCCGAGTCAACAAAGCCCGGATGTAAGCTGTTAACGGTAACGTTTGAGCCTTTCAAACGGGTTGTCATAGCATATGCTTGCATAACTTGGTACAATTTTGATCTTCCGTAGTAATTCAAATCAGGAAAGTTGTTGGCCGTTCCTGTATAATTCATCGTGGCAACATCAAATGTTCCTCGATGGTGATAAGCACTTGAGGTGAGGATGATCCGGCAATCTGGTCCGGACTGCCTCATAATTGGCAGAAGTTTCGCTATCATTAGAAAATGACTCAAATAATTGACCTGTAACATCATTTCTAGTCCGTCAGCGCTTTGTTTATACGCGGCAAAGCCCAATCCAGCATTACAAACCAGCACGTGGAGCTTGCGACCACTTTTCTTAAATTCATCACAAAAATTCACAACTGATTCAAAAGATGCCAGGTCTAATTTCATGAATTCGAGTGCTAGTGTCGGATTTTCAGTTAAACCCGTCGTTCCTTTCGCTCGTTCTTTTTCAAAGTCCTCTTGCATTGTCTCCATGGCTTTTCTGGCTCGATCCTCTGACCGGCATGCTAAGATAACAGTGCCTCCCATCATTGCGCACCATTTAGCCAGTTCATATCCGATCCCGGTATTTGCTCCGGTTACAATGAAAATGCGATCTCTTGGGATCTGTGTAATAGGAAACGAAACGCTGCTGCCCATTTTACTTTATTTATACTGTTATCTGAAATTAGAAAAAAAGAATGATAAATAAACAATACTGCCGATTTATGCAGATTTTTTTCTTTACTTTTAATATTTAAGATATTTTGATCTTTAAAGGTTTCCCCTTAACCTAAATGACGTCTTACCTTCTGTTACGAAGATACAAACTTGCACGCAAAAAGTGTAACGGTGACGCCGACGCCTGGGCGAGTACTATAGCTCTCCCTATTCATCGAATTTTTGAGCTAAAAATGATTATCTTAACTAAATAAAACTCGCATAATATGGAAACATGTGATTACAAATGTATGTTACGCTTCTTATCTTCCATTTTCAATACACCTATATACCTAATGTTCTGTATTTTACCCCGCGTTCCATCTGCACGGCTGGTTAAATTGCACACTCAAGCTAAACCCACAAACAAATTGATCAGTTGCCAAGGTAACGGTATATTTTTTCAGTTTAATGCCATTTAATTAGAATATTTCAGTAGGTATTTATATAACGTATATATTCTCTACCAGCAAAACTCTAACCCGCAATGTAATATGTAGAACCACAGGCGTAAGACGCTGTGATCTGATTATACCCCTGTCCCCTACCGCCCCCAGTCCCTGTTACAACCGTAAAAGAAATATGAGCCGCGTCACGACAAAACCAACGTAATGGGTTTGCGCCCGCGCAGTCTGATCAGGATCCATGCTGTTCGCTTACAAACTCTATTACAAATAGAAAAACTGATAGCGAACAGCATGGATCCTGATCAGACTGCGCGGATGCGCAGGCTGGTCTGGATCCATGCTGTTCGCAAAGCCATTACGTTGGTTTTGTCGTGACGCGGCTCATATAAATTCCACATTTAATATTCATAACATCATTGATATGACAGTATTAGACAATTTTCAATACACCTCCGCCTCTAAATATAGTATAAGTAAGAATCGTCTAACAATGTAACATTATTGTTGTTATGAATATTAAATGTAGAAATTAACTTTTATTTCTGGGGACTAGGGGTGGTACGGTGTTGTGTCTAACCCTATGGTACGCACAAGCAACCAGTAACTTCTCCACATTATTATATTTACTTTGAATAAGACAAAGTAAAATCTTTTGCAAGGTTTTAAGCACATTTCATGACTGGCAAAATCCAGTTAAAAGTCTGCTATAGTGCAGTGGAATGCTGGTTTATTGCAACAAACACAAAGAACTTGGTATTCAGAAATTTAGCACTCAATGGTAATATTATTTATAACTTAGTTTTATGTTACAATAGTATGTTATTAGTTCTGGCTTCCATAACGTTATTTGTCGCTTTTATTTTGACGTTGTGCAATAGGTCTAGCAGTACTATAAAAGCTGTTCGCTGAAGTCTCTTTAGCTACTTTTAAATATGAATTTTGGCCTACTTTCACTTCAAATGGACCAATAAGTGAAAATTTTAATCAAACATGGCTGTCAAATTATGCGTAATTACCTTAAAATAAGAAACGATCTCGTTTTTTTACGTATATAAATAATCTCATAATCAGAATATCTATATATACATGTATACGAAATGGATTATAGTATTATAGCATAAACTATTTATTGATCTGTACTGAATATAATACAGAAATGTACAAATAAGATATATCAAAATAATAAACCATTACAATATTTAATAATTGTAGCAATCATAATTCTTAAGTATAAATATCAAAATAAAACGCACCTGTTTAAGTATATATTTTATCCTTTATATTATTCATTACACCATTGCATGTTTTTGTTTACAAATGTTCTATATCTTAACCCGCATATGGTTCGTAATTTGACGGAAACAACCGAAAAGTTGCGATTTAAGATATCGTCTGCTGCTTTTGTCAATCGCATCTTCTCGGTCCTTTCCGTCAAACTTCCGGAGGTTTTGTTTCGAGTACGTCTGCATTTTTGTGTCATATTCATTTACACAAGAGCCTTTTTGTTAATGACAAAGAGTGCATTGATACATATACATTTATTGACATGTGAATCATACTTTACATTTTTAAGCAATATACAAACTTTATTATACATATCTCAATAATCTAATTATCAATTAAAACTGCGCTGTCCACAGACGCTTTATTTATATTGTACATAAAAACATCACACTTAAAATATTCACACAAAATTAATGATAAAATATTCACACGTTTAAAATTACATTTTATAATATAGCTATTTTACAAATCACACAAATCATAGCACTAGTTTGTGAGGTTTTAAAAACTTAATAAAATCATTAACAATAAAAAACAAATGTCTTAATAAAAGAAGGTAAAACTTAAAAATATTCGGCAACATTAAAATCAAGTCATTAAAACATTCGGTAGGAGTAGCTTTTGTTTAATCAATATGCTTTTTTTTTCTTCAAAATACGCGTTGCTGGTAAATGATACGTTGAAAAAAAATATGATATAGTATTTGGATGTCAGATGTGTTCCTTTCAACCTTGCCGAAATGAAATGCAAGATAAATGCAAGAAAACCGACAACTGGCTTTTTAATATTCACGTTCTAAAGTGTCTTAGCGTTTATGTTGATTGACTAGCTGTGATTTTGAAATTATCGTCTTTTTTTTTCAGAAAAAAAAAACAATTTGCAAGACCAAAAAAGATTTCTGTTTATCCTCAGTATTGGAGAACAAGAACACATTTTCCCTTGTCGAAACGAAATACAAGAGAAAAATATCACGATAAACCTGATGAAATGCCAAAGTTTCCTAGTTTTGAAATCCTTACAATAAACGAAAGAAAAATAACAATGCAAGGATTTCTCTAGGAAGGTCTGACATTAAATAAAAGGAGAACGAAAAAAAAACCTTATTTTCAGATTTGTCCTCTATAGTTTTAGTTAATTTAGAAAAAAAGAACACTTAAATTTCAAGAAAAAAAAACATATTGGTTAAACAAAGCTACCGGTTCATTAATGCGTGTCCTTTAACAGTACGATGCCCAGTGTGGTATTAGGGGCGTTGAAAACATTCCGTCTTCATTAACATACATTATCGGTGGAGTCGGTGTACTTCTGTGTTCATGTGACTGGGCCTGGGGCCCTGGCTGGTACATATACCTGCACTGAGTTGGCGGAGAAACCTGGTTAAGCAAAGGTCGCCGCACACATTCAAAGGCAGATGACTTTGTCTGGTTAGCCAAAGGAGTGGAAATAAACATGGGTTGTCCTATAGGATGTGAAGGCGGAGACATTAAAGATCGTCTGCGTATTTTGTCCGAGGTAAATCCTGGATGTGCGTTGGTTTCGTTCAAGTCTGAAAAGTCACTGAGAGAAAAAGGTGACAGATCAAACTGATTGAAATCATATTCGCCGTTGTTGTCTGAGAAGTGATGGTCACGTGACGGGACATTTGCCGGTGGTGACGTCAAATATCTATTATAGTTCTGTTCTGCACAGCTGTTGAGGAAATTGCCTGAGTTATCATTCACACTAGAATCAACATATCCACTGTCGGTACATTCAAATGACGTGTAAGGCGGCGTCCCCCGATCCAAATCCGGACATATAAAACTGGATTCTGGACTAGATGAAGTCATTCCCGGAAGCCATGGATCTCGAAAATTTGGCGCTGTATTGCGATGATCAAACGTTGAAACGTTAGGTGACTGATCTTTTCGCACATGTAGAGCTGGTGAAGAACTTCTCGTCTGCATGTGATACATTTGCGTATGATGTGAAATTTGCGCATGCGTAGACGGAGGTGAAATTTGCGCTTGCGAAGGCGGAAGTACCATCTCAGATGCTTGGGTGACAAGGTATACCGGGGTCGAAGCATTCGATGTTAGTCCACAATTTCTTTGGTGTTTGCTCACAGGTATTCGTGGCTGATTTTTCACGTCCTGGTACCTCAACATCGGTTGTTGGTTTTCATCATGGCTGTTTTCTTGTTTCCATGGAAACGAACATATTTGAGACTCGAATATATGTCCTGGAGTTATCGATTCCTCTAGAGTTCTTCGGAAGTGCGCCATTTTGTTTGAAATGTAGTCTCCTATAGCGTTCCAGAACGGTTCCGAATTCATCCTGAATTTTTAAAAAAAAAATGAACGTATGTTATATTTTGACATTTACAAGTTATATTTGCCAAAAAAGAAATAAGCAAAATATAAGCGATAGATTTTATGAGAACTATACCAGCACAAGTTGTGTATACAAATCATGCAATGACATCCCATTTTCATGCAAGGGTTAAAACATTTTATTTATTTATTTATTTATTTATTTATTTATTTATTTATTTATTTATTTATTTATTTAAATTTATTTATTTATTTATTTATTTATTTTGGTACTAAAATGCTACCAAATGAACGACAACTCTTACTGCTCGAATCTGACTTTATTCAGAAATTCCTAATGTAACAAAATAGGAACAATCCAGCAAAATAATATCGTCATTTCCTTTGTAATTGAATGACGATCTTTAATTTTAAAAAATGTACAATGTGACGCAATTAGACGCTTACCTGAAATATGCAGATCGTAGAGTATTTGTTCCTGTTTCACGATCTATTGAGGCCCGGTAGTCTCCCCTTGCGAAGCAGGCAATACTGTTGGGCAAGATACACCATAAGTAAGTAGACCTTGCTAGCTTCTCTTTGTTGCTCGCACCACGACCTGAAATACGGTATACAAATAAAATACAGTTAGTTAATTGATATACATATAGATTGATCCAATCTCCCACGCAGTGATCTCCCCTTTACAGTGTGTTACTGGCCGCAGCGTAACCGGTCTACATCTACATCCGGGCATTTGCAAATTTTACATCATATGCAAATGTAGCACGTGCACAGGAGAAGTTTATATCATCGGCAATCGCAACTTTTCGGCCCTTTCCGTCAGTCTTCGGATCTATATTATAGATAATAGCCGAGGACGTTCCTATTGTATCATCGGCAATGTAAAGGTCACTTGGCTGCTTTCAAACTTAGGTGGGGGAAGACCCCAAATAGTCCTTTGTGCAGTAAGGACATCTCAGTAGAACAACCATCCTATAAACTAGCTGGACAGTTTCCTAACGACAAAATTCTTAAGTCCGGCCGCATAACTGATAGGATTATTACAAAGTAAATAGCCAAAAAGTTGCTCAGTGTGAAATACAACTATATACAAGTGTGTAGTTTTAAATCCAAAGATGTTTTTACTGTCAGGAAAAACTTTCTATTAATCAATTAGAAAAATGTTAAGTAATTAGTAAATTTATTTCTGAGTATATTATTTATTTCATTACTACCATTTGCATATCTATCTGTTTTAATGTCAAAGCTGATCAATGTTAGGAATTCAGATTTTAGGTTTCTGGACCTCGGTGGAGTTCCTTTAACTCGGTGGAGTTCCTTTAACACGAAGTAAATAAAACTCAAAAAGTTCTACTTACCAACTGGTATCTTTGAGAAACACATGGTTTTTGCCAGGCTGTGTCTGACGGCATTCTTCCAGTGTTTTCGTGTAGAATTCCTGAAGAACTTGAAACGAGTTTGAATATAGCTGAAAATAAACGTATATTTTGTATTAAAAGTAATCTTATACCGTATTAAAGCTGCATACCTCCAGCTGAGTCAAAATGTTTCAAGGAAATCTCACTTGAAGAAAATGAACAAAGATTTTTAAAATAGTAAAAAATTCAGTTAATAATGTACTTGTTATGTGCGATAATGATTAATTTTTTTAGTATTTATCGACATATTTCTACTGCATAATTAACACAATAAGGGCTACTTTTGAATATTTTGACCTCAGTCTGTTTGGATTTTATGTGGTTTGTAAGTGCCGTCTGCAGTGTGTGAATTACCTTCTTTATTCAATTGACAAAAGTCTACTTTTAAATGCATTTTCAAAATTTTCATGAAAATTAGCATGAATCTGGAGGCATGCTGATATACTGAACACGTTGCGTGGGGATGCAAAAAAATCAAAATAAACAAGAGGTGTCCATTCTCTTGAAAATAAGACAAGACATATGCAAGTTTGGAAACCATAACATTCACTAAGGAAAGTAACCGAGTAAATGTCCATGCTAGAGTAACGGGCCTTGGTCAGAGACCTACAAGACATGTGTGTGAAACATATATTCCGTGTTTTCACTGGTATCTTGCCGGACTACTTTCTTCTTAAGTCAGCCAATACACAACATTTAAAGGGAAGTCTTTCAAATTGTAATGTCAAAAGAATGTACATGTATATAGTAAACAGAAAATTCAAGTTTTCTCTATAAATACAGGATATATTTTCATTTTGTGGTATGAAAATTATCATATTTCACTCATGAAATATTTATTTTCATACCACTCGATGAAAATAAATCCTATACAGAAACAAGAGGGCCATGATGGCCCTGAGATCGCTCACCTGTATGTAGGCCCCCCACCCCCCCCCCACAACGTTGCAGGGCCAATTTTAACCCAAGGGCTTTTATTTGCACAAACTTGGTAGACACCCATAAGAAGATGTTTCATGCTAAACATCTATGCTCTAGCTCATTGGGCTTTTTAAAAGAAGATTTTTTTTAAGTTTTTACTATACACATATAGTTAAAAACAATGACACCCCTGGGGCGGGGCCAATTTTGACCCCAGGGCTTTTATTTGAATAAACTTGGTAGACACTTATTATAACATGTTTCATGCCAAATATCTTAGCTCTAACTCTTTTGGTTCTTTAAAAGAAGAATTTTTACTATATGCATATAGGGAAAATCAATGACCCCCTGGGGCGGGGCCAATTTTGACCCCACGGCTTTTATTTGAACAAACTTGGTAGACACCTATTAGAACATGTTTGATGCTCAATATCTTAGCCATAGCTCTTTGAGTTCTTTAAGAAAGATTTTTTAAGTTTTTACTATATGCATATAGGGAACATCAATGACCCCCCCGGGGCGGGGCCAATTTTGACCCCAGGGCTTTTATTTGAACAAACTTGGTAGACACTCACTAGAAGATGTTTCATGCCAAATATCTAAGCTCTAGCTCTTATGGTTTTTTAAAAGAAGATATTTAAAGTTTTTTTCTTTCGGTTGCCATGGCAACCAGAGTTCTGCATGGAATTAAATTCTTTGAACAATTTTTAAAGGTGACCACCAAAGGAACATTCCTGTGAAGTTTGGATGAAATTGGCTTAGTGGTTTATGAGGAGATGTCATTTAAAGTAAAAGTTTACGGACGGACGGACGACGGACGGACGCCGGACGAAAAGCGATCACAAAAGCTCACCCTGTCACTTTGTGACAGGTGAGCTAAAAAATGAATATCCTCTATATATATTTTATGACAACGAATGTAAGTTTCTTTTTATCACACGACTAGACGCATTGAAATTAATAAATTCATCTTATTTTGATCGTTTAATTGTTGTTGTTAATGCCTCTATACTGTAGGCGAAAATGACGTCGTCACAATTATTACACGTTATATATCAATCTAGAGAAATACGTCATGGTTATATTTATCTGAAATTTGATTGATTGATATGAAATGGCCATGTGATAGATATATTATATTCGAGTTTGATGTCAGAACAAAGGACGTATGGCGTGGTGAATTTTAAATGAGAGGTTACGTTACGTATGACTTCACATGTTTTTGTGACGTAACAAGCAACGGAAATGCAAATTCTGACCTGTATATCTGTCCTATAGGTAAGCAGAAGTTGGGTGATCTAAGCATGGCAATGTATGCCAGCTCCGAGTAACTGTAGTTTGGTTTAACATCCGGGTCATCGTTCTTGTCCAGTTGCTCGTACACGTTAACAAAGTTGTCGATCACGTGACGTAATTCGTTTTCGGCCGCTGAGTTTGTTTGTAAAGTCGATGCTGGAATTCTGAAGCAAGAAGATATTCAGTACTTTATTATTTGATATTTTGGTGCATTTAAAGGCAAATTATGCCTCAGTAAAATGGTTATAGAAAAATCTGTGCAGTACTTTATTATTTTTATTAAAAACAGTGATCATTTGTAGCATTTAAAGGCACAGAAATAAAATATTTTTTCTTCCTTTATAAAGAGCAAAGATGAGTTTTATAACTTTTGATTTATGTTTATTAGGCATGCAAGATGCTTATCACCTACAGAAATAGCACTGAATGAAATTTGTTATGCCATAAAAGTAATAAATTGTAAACAAAATAGTTTCATGCAAAATACTAAATAACTATAACTTTACTAATTGCCAAAAAGGTACAGGATTTGGGAATCGGCAAATGAATAGCGTTTTGGAAACTGTGTCAGAGCACCAAAAAATAAGATTTTTTTTTTTTGAGAAATAAAAACCACGCATAGGCCTTTAAATGTACGTAATAAAACAATACATGCACGACTTTTAACAAAGTACATTGACAGATCGTAAATGTATGAAAAGGATAGATAGCGTTATTAATCATTTCATAAATTCTTTTTACATAAATTCTAATGTTTTCAATAATTCCCCATCGATTCACAAGAATATTCTTAGCCTCTTTAAGATTAAGAGCTTAGATTAAGTTTTAAGATTCAAAATTTGTATTGGCAAACACATTTTTTTCATCGTCATTATTTTGGCGGTTCAATAAGCAAATTAATAAAATATAATGATAAGAGATTAAAGAATTGGTGACACCCTGTTACACTTGCAAAAGTTTCGCACATTTTTGCAAACTTTTCCTCCATTAAGAATGTCCATTAATTATTCTAGTTAATAATGCTGTCCACCAACTTTACGGATGACACCACTTTACTGATTACCCCGTAAAACAAACGGAATAATACATTGACTAGATTCTAAATCTGCTTACATTATAAAATAAAAAAAAATCACAAAATGTGGTAGTTATTCTAATTCTGATTCGTAAGTTTTTTTAAAAGGTTTTGGTATTATTCGGAACTAATATTTCTGCAATAAAAAGGCAAATATTTAATATGAAAAAAAACACGATAGCACTTAACTGGTCAATAAATGGTGAGTTTTTCGATTAAAAATAAATGAGGATTCAATGAAGTTTAATAATAAACAGATAAAGATGTTTATTTGGGTTGGTGGGGAAATCCTTCAACTTAGATTTAATATGCACAGTATTCATATAATGATATAGTTCTATTATTCTAATACACTTACCCCGGCATTGTAGTTCTAGTGCCGACAAACGTAACTCCTTGAGGTGTTGATGCTAATACTGGCCGTCCAATTTGTCCCGGCGGTGAGTCAACTTCCCGACAGTTATAATTCCCGGGAACAGTCGGCAACATCTTCGTCGGCTTCTCGAAAAAGCCGTCGTCGGTTTCTTCAAGCTTCCTTTTCATATTTCACCCACTGTCTTTTATTTATCTCTAAATCTAAGAACAATCCAACCGCTTGCTTCTTTAATAATACAAGTCTTTTAATTATTCAATCCAAACTTTTCGTTTAATTTTTCAAATCAAGCTTCTTTGGTTATATTCTAAAACGTTTAAAATATTAAGATATATAGAAATATATTTTTTCTCAGAATCCGCCACCTTTCTCCACAAGCTCAAACAACTTTAAAAGTTGTCTTTAGAAAATTACTTCTCAACTGTGATGCTCAATTTTTGACATATTTCGCTCACAACGGTTTTTTGTATAAGGGGAAAACTATTTGCACGTGCAATTGTGTGAAATCTTTAGCATTTCGATATAAAGGATTTTTTTTTTTATTGTTAACGGTACATATGACAGCACTGAGCAGATTTTGAGCAGTTTTGTTTGCATGGACTGTTTTTCAAACTCGTAGATTATCCCATTAAAGTGGTAAGTGGTAGTCGATTATTCATTAATCGATTAATCGAGTTATTGATTATTTTATTTTTTAAAAAAAAACGAAAAATTGATACACATGCTGTGTTGTTGTAGTTGTTTTATACTGCTTGATTGATTGATTGATAACAATGCTGACACGGGTGAACTTTATTTTTAACATTTCAGATTCATCTTAACTGGCACTAGATTTCAAAACATCTATTATGACTATTAGACGTATATTTAAATGTTATTGCTAAAGACAGACAGACAAAAAACTTTATTTTCACTCAAGGTATTACAAATACAACATGAGGATATATTCAAATAACACAAATTAAGCAATATATGGTTCCGGTAGAGATCTGCAATACAAAAAAATGGGGAAAAAACATCATTTATGCATTCAGTATCATCAACAAATAACGCGAAATTCAAATGACGCGGATATCTACGGAACATCTATTACTAGTATTTCACTTGACCAATACCTCGCAGTGCCTTTGCGCAATATATGGATTTATACTTATTTGGTTGAATTTTAATCGGTTGTAACTTGTTAAACTGTTGTGATGTAGCTGCCAACACTCTCGCTATGCATTTCTACTTCAATACGTTTATGTAGACCTTGTCATTTTTGGGTAATATATTAATTAAATCATATCAGTTAAACTGTGAATACATATTTTATTTTTAGTGTTCTTGAAAATTGAAAATGTAATCGCTTTAGATGTATTGCTTTAACTGCTTGATACCACTAAAATTATTTACATTTATTATACTTCGCGCAAACATTTTACTATCTAGACTATATGTCGTCACATGGTGTTATTCTGGAAATGAATTCCACCCGGTCAATTTTTTTTCAATATATTTTTTTTCAATATTCCCCAGGGGCGAGTAATCTATATAGACTAAAGAAAACGTAATGTACTAGTTGTCTCCCCTGAAAATACGCATATGGCTCGCGCGGACTAAAAGCTGTATTAGCCGTTTACCATCTTAAATGAATGAATAAGAAAGTTTACACTGATTGCAAGGATTTGCGGAAAGCGCTACCGACATAATTATGTTCTTATTCACTAAAAGGGTTAAATTAGGCGTTTACTTAAAGATTTATTGTTTTGAATGATACTGTAAAAAGTGTCTGTGCTTTCCCAATGCTAATGTACATTAAAATGGCAAGATACCAAAATCTCTTATATCAAATATATAATATGTGTGGCTTTTTCAAAAAAATAATATCATTTAAAATATTTCCATATAAACAGTTTCCATGTTTGCAAATAAAAAAGTCATTTATTTCCGTTTAAGTATTTACTACAATGTTGATAATAACTCTTTAAGCCATGTTTTAAATGTATTTGACATTGAAACAATTTTGTTGGAGAATTTGGAAGGATAGAATATAGAACATTGTTACAGTTTTGCCATATTGTATCTGAAAATATAACTATATATCCCACGCTGTATTGCCATGCATATTTGGGAGATGGGACTTAAGTTGGGAGGAAATACAGGGATTTGTCTTGTCTTGTCTATCAAAACCATAGCTATATAACGTGTTAGTGTTGACTTTGGCATTACTTTAGTTTGTTATGTTATTTTTGGTAATAATACAAGGATGAATAAATTGTACGTGTCAATACATCCCTGACTAAAACGAATTGAGCCTTATCCCGGCCCAGTCCATTCCAGTTTAGTATTGCTAGATCTGTTTATTTTGCCAGATACACTACATATAAGTCTTTGATTTTGCTAACGTAACCAAAGGCTTGGACAGAAAGCCAAAAGGAATTTGGATAGCAACATTCATTTAGCCCGTATAACCAAGCATACCGTAACAATACGGGATATAGATTGCCCAGATCGGGAGAAATTATTTCCCTTTGGTATTTCTGCCGCAGAGGGCGCTGTGATCCGCCATATTGGAGAAAAGCGAAAAATTAACAAGAAAATTTACACAGCAAATGGAAAATGTTTCCTATTCAACCAGGTAAAAAGATAACTCAAGTCTGCAGTAATACTTAAAATTGTCTGTTTTATCAGATAAACGAACAATAAAGTTTACACGAATCATTGGAAATGAAATATATAATGTCGAACTTGTGACATTTTTTCATTTTTGTGAATCAGACACTGTCGAGTGTTTTTACACTTGAAATTAACATGAGAATATTGACGTCTACATCTGTACTATTTATTTATTTCCCATAATTAATTATGTGACCAAATAACAGTCCTATTCAACACTAAAAATATATATAATATTTTTACAAAAATACATATTGTGAACAAAATTTGTTTTTATACCAGGACACAAGGCCTAATGTTTTGTTGATTCTGCACTCCTTTATCCAGAACTATTCTTAAAGTCTGACAGGATGTTTAGGGTCATGAAAACTGAATGCTTCCAGAATTTATTTTCACAACAAATTTTTACTATTATAAATTATTAAATAGTTGAAAAGGTTAAGGTCATCTCAGCCTTAAACCAACTTGGCATTGGTTTGCTTAGTCATTTCGGCCAATCGTTAGTTACATGTACAATCCAGTCCCCCCCAGTAAGTTTTGTCTTATAAAGATGTATTGAAAATGTAGAAAATATAGCCCTGAGTCCTTGAAAATACTACTTAAGCTTGGGTTGTTGAATCATTGACACTTGACAATGGTTTTACCGCCACCTATATTCAATTTGTAATTTCTCTCAGATGAGAAACAGTAATGCTAGGTTACAGGGATAATAATGTAAAATTATTTAGCAACAACTGGATTGTCATATTGGTAAGAAGTTATATTCTAAGTGTACTTAGTTCCCATTGTGTTGAAGAAAGATTATATATGATATCATCAGAAAAAAAGGTGCAAGGGATCAGTTCTTAAGAGCTACATGAATTGAAGCTGATTATTTTCAGCGTTATTTCCTGTCATCAGATTAAGCATATCACATATAAAACATAGTTGTTTTACAGTTAAGAATAAACATATATAATTATATCAAAAGCATTTGCAGATTGTTTTTGTATAGACTAACTGAACTTAGTTAGTATAATATTATGCCTTTTCCTCAGGGTTGTCATGTACAAACTATTTAATGAGAATTTCTTTTTCGAGTAGGGGAACAAAGTAAAACAATTTTACAACTTTTCATACAAAGACAAAAATGCAAATGTTTTTTAATGAACATGATATTTATGAGCACTTCATTTGTCAGCATTTTTTAACATTCAAATGTTCTTTCTATTTTATAAATATAATGTTCATTGTTCAGATATTTATTTGATACACAAGAACATTATTATTGACAGTTTCCTGCTTGCCAATTACCTTAGTTGCTTAAAGGTTTAGTTTGCATTTGTTAGTATATATAAATTCACATTATGATATTGCTTTATCTTGAAGGTATAAGCTCAAGCATGATGACGGGTCAGATGAATGGCTCGGTTGGTGGTACGTAAGTGACCAGCCAGGGGCTCTTGAAGGGACAGATTTCATTATAATCATAAAACTTCATTTAAACATTTCAGACAAAAAAATGGCCTTCCATGATATTATATTAATTTTTTCTTTAAGGACGAGCTATCTTGTTCAAAAATGATGCAAAAAATACAATCAGAATATGTTAACTTGAGTATTTGTCTAAACTCTGGTTAACACTTAAAAATAGTCTGAGTAACAGTTATGTTTTTGGGTGACTACGGTCAGTACAGGCAATAGACTGCTTCTGTACCTTAGAATTTCAGTCAGTGGCTCTTTTCTGTTGCCTGCTTGTACCAAAAAAAAAAAAAAAACATGCATGGAGGAACACATAAGATCATTTTCCACTAATAAACTGCCAATACAAATTGTGTTGGTGTGTTATAAACCCCACCATAAAATATATCTTGACTGTATAGTATACTGTTTATATAAAAAAAAGGAATGTATTTGGATTTTTTGTTCAATGAATCATTATTTTAATTAAAATTTATTTAATATTGTTTCTTTTTTTTTGTTTGTTACTATTTTATAAATAATAGCTTTTCATGAAATTGAATAGGGCTTTTTAGAATGGTTATTTACTGTAGTTTTCACAACAACCTCTTGACCTTAATTGGAACTTTCCAGCTAATTTATTTGCCACTGTTATATGGTAAATGTTCAAAACTACAACCTTTTTTTAAAAACACCTAAAAAGCCCTGTTGAAAAGCAACTTTGTTTATTTGAAGAAATCATTTGTCTCATCAATTAAGTATGAGAAGAAAAAAAATTATGCATTTATGTGTAAAATTTGTTCATATTAAAACAGTTTTCATTTTGTATTTGAAATGGAACATTTAGTCTCAATAAATTTGTATTTTACTGAAAATCATTGCTTTGTGTTAGTTTTGAGAAAGTAAAGCTTAATTCACTTTCATCAGAATGAAATGTTATGCCATTTGCATGCATCATTGAAATATAATATATATACATAAAAAAACAAGAGCCAAAAATATCAATCAGAAAGTCTGACTGTAAACAATGATTAGTGAAAAGTAAAGCTAGAAAGCTAAATTTTATTTTCATGTGAAACATAGCAATTAGCTTTAGCATTGAGCTATTATCCTGAAACTGTAGTTTAATGCTTGAATTGCAGTTTTTAATGTGACTGTGTAATGGTTTTATCGATGACTGCCTTATGTTTTAGTCTTTTGTGTGATACCGGCAGCCATTGAATCTACTTGTGCCACCAATTTAGACCAATATCAGCCTGCACATGCTATCTGATCATTGTCTGCACTGTTTGGTTTTCAGTCAGTACTTAATTTTGATATTTTCCCTATATTGATGTATGGGTCTGTCCAGATTAAAAGATGGACACGTCCATTTAAGATATTTAGCAATGGTAAGGGTAAATTTTTCTGAAATCACATGATCTTAGATTTTCAGATTTAAGAAACAGTAAGGTTTTTTTTTAAGTTAACTGTAACCAAATTTTTAACGAATTATTAAAAAAAGAACAGACTCACAAACAGGGGGGACTCTTGCAAATGTTAAATTGTAAAAACAAAAGTCATGTTTTTTCTTTCAGATTAAATATACCTTTTTTTAATTAATAAAATGTTGTGTGTAATTGGTTTTCTTGTAAAAGTTAACACAATCCATTGATTTTCAGAGTCTTCTTTTTGCAATTTTTCATACAATACAGTCAAGGAAATTGAATTCACTGGATGGGGAGGAATACATTTCTAAAGACGTGTTTTGTTCATGCTTAAATAATACTGTGATATCGTCTTGTTTAACAAAAAACTAATTCACTGGAAAAAAATACCCATTTTGGTTTGATTTTTACTAATGATTTGATCTATTTCTTGCAGAAATTAATGATTCTTTGAGGGAGAACCCTTCCAGAGCCCTGTGTTACTTGTATAGGGATCACCCATGACAGAAACATGCAATATTTTCTAATATTTATAAACATCTTTTAGTCTGCACACCCATGTTATTGTCCTGTACTAATTTTCATGTCATACTCGTTACTGCAGTACATTTAAAGTTTTCTCTAAAATCAACCAGAAACTAATGTGTACTCTCTCTGAGTCTCTCTCTTCCATACATTTTTGAAGGTGTTTGATTGATTTGATCTATAATATAGCTATTTTAACAGATACTTTCGTAATTTCATTTTGTAGGTGTTCCATCGCTAATTAGCAGTTTAAAAATTCAGCATGTTCCATTATTTTCTTTCTGTTAAAAGTATGAATTAACGTGACTGAAAGGGAACCAGTCAATTACTTCCAATACACTAGATCTGGGTAAAAGTCAGTTAACTGGTTTCAATAAACACAAGATCTGGGTAGAGTTCAGTACAACAGATTTCAATAAACACTAGATCAGGGTAAAAGTCAGTTAATTGGTTTCAATAAACACTTCATCCAGGTAAAAGTCAGTTAAGTGGTTTCAATAAACACTACTGTCGATCTGCCATTCAGGGTATAATTGGTTTCAGGAAAAATTGGATCTGGGTTGTGTCAGTTAACTGGTTTTAGTACACACTAGATCTAGGTATTGACAAAGATTTCAGAGTTTAATTGACCTGTTAATTGATGGAACACCTTGATTTGTTATTTTATTCATTATATATAGAATTTATGAAAGAAATGTATCCAAAATAATTACTAGAATACAATGGATGAAAAATATACTCTGATGCTATTCTGGGAATTTTAACAATATATTCTTAAAAACTCCATTCTTGCCTCGTAGTTTGTTTCCTTTAACAAAGCTATTTCTGTGAGAATGGGATATTCTGCACACTTTAAGTAAATGTATGCAAGTTTCTGACAAGAATTTGTTTTATTCTGTTCAGGAGTCTTGAATTTCACTTCTTATAATCTTATGTGTACATCGTTTGCAATATTTTGTATAAATTTTACGTGTACAATATAGCCTTAGTTTCATGTTTAATAGAGTGTTACTCTTTGTTAGTTGTGGCACATTTCCTGGCAATAGAAATGTTACAGTTATTTTCTAGACACGGTCTGAATTGTTCCATAAAGCCAAAAAATAAGTCCTAGAAATTTTGATCAGGAAATCTTGAAAAAATAGGATAAAGTCCTAGAAAAGTCCTTTAATTTCAAACTGTGAACCCTGTAAATTCTCGATAGAGACTTGTACCATAAGGTCATTGATATGTGAGCAGTTTTCATGTATAGATACAGAAGGTAAATTAATATATTTACCGGTAAGAGTTAAAGACTTAAGACAACAAAATGTGAAAATAATCATGTCGCACTGTGTATGTGGTTAGTCAATGAAGCCATCGTGCTTCTTTTGGGTTTATATAAAAATTCAGGTGTTTTCCTACATGTATGTGCAAACCTGAACTTCAAGTAAGATTGTGATAAACATCCATAGCATACAACTTAAAATGTGACTTGACAAAAACATTTTAATGTTAATATGTACATGACTAAATTGGAATGAAAATGAGTGTAAAATTAAGTTCACATCGTTATACTTTGTTTTTATAGCACATCATTTGTCAATATGAAAACATCCATTACTGTTTTTGTTTACCTTTTAATTTACTTATTTAGGATGGGTATTTTTGGAACAGAACTTTTAAGTCAAAAATTGGGAATTTGCTGTCTGTTTCCTATTGGGATTCCGGGAACAGTTATATAAGGAAAATACACTGAAAATTGCTGCAAATTATTAAAGCTTAATAGCCAGATATTTGCGGCTGTTCAGCGTGTTGATTGTGACATATTTCAACTTGCCAGGAGATGTGCGGCTAGACAGTGTAGACCCATTTTGGTGCTAATTTTTGTCTCATTCTAGAGCTAATCCCTGTTTTGGTATTGGTGATAACTTTGGTATGGTTCTTCTTACAGCTAGAACCTTAAATTAGTTGTAAAAAGAAAAAAGGTGAAAGACATGTTTTAAAGAAATTGTATGTTATAACATAGATATCTGACATGTACAACTACAACATGTATATTGACCTTATAATATAATAATAGCCTGGGTACAAGTTATCAAATATTTGCCTGAATTTTAGGTTTTTTTCTACTCCTGAAAGCTCTCTTTTTTGTATAAAAACCAACTGAAATAAATACTTAATTTAGTGTTTTCAGGTTTTTCTGATATTTTTAACTTGCACTCATGTATTAGATCTGCATGTCAATTGTTCGATCTGACAATGGTTATAAGTTCCATTGGCCCACAGTGTTCAAACTTCATAGTATGATTGTCCATATTGGGTAGAGCACCCCTATTTTTGGGGGGTCACAAGGGCAAAGTCCAAGGTCACTATTACCTTAAAACTGAAAACAGTTTCCACAGCATAACTTAAGTTCCATTTGGCCCACAACATTCAAACTTCATGGGAGGATTGCTATTTGACGGAGGTAATACTTTATTTAATTCCCATGTCTTACAAATGCTTCATATTTACTTAAGAAAAACACTTTCAGGCATATAATGCTCCGCCAAGCGGTGCTCTTGTTCTCAATTTTTGTGAAATCTACTGTAGGAAGGGGTAAAACTCCTGCAACTGACCTTTAACATTGAAATAACTGTGTTGTTTGTATCTATTCTTTTTAATTTCAATGGCAGTTTTGTACAGTACTAAAATGTGACTGTATTTTTTTAGTCAAACCTTAATTTTGTTCCTTCATTTTTCAGGACTTTTCAGTTTCTGGAATGAAAAAAATAACCTGTGGATCTCCAGTGCATGTTTAACTTCATATATTATAGTTTTCCTTCATGTATAGCTCTAGCTAATTTAACTTACTGTTAATAGAAATATTTTTTCCTAGGTAGTTACTAAAGATAAAAAAACAAAACAAAAAACATCACAAATTGTATCTTCTAAGATACCTAATTTTACTATATATATTTTACTTAAAATCTTACATAATTATAGGGTACTTGAAGCTTTTGCTATTTACCACTCCCCACCCTTCCCAATACCTTGACTTTACAGCTATCAATTTCAAAATATTTTACCATGGCTTTCTTTGATGCATTGCGTTGCTTAACAAAATAACTGCACTTGAAGAGTTTAATGCAACATCCACTTAACTCATTGAATTAGATCAATACTATTGTAAATCAGAAATCTGAATGAATTGAAATGTTATAATTATTAAGAGCTAGTCACAAGATTTGAGAACAAACAATAAAGTCCTATTTTAAGACATTATGTTACGACATACTTAAACAATGCCAGTTATATACACTATCTCTTGTTCTTTGTGGCCACATGTGCCATAAATGAACTTATTTTCAGTTAGGTGTGAATTATTTTGGCCCTCTTTAAAACAGTTTTTTGTCCTACCTTTAGAAAAAGTTCCTTCCACGTTTTGCAAAACTTTCTTTCTAAAAATTAGAAGGAATTGCAACATTTCAAGAAAAAGATGATTGTTTACCCATCAAAAAGTTACCATACATGTTTCCATCAAAATTGAAAAATATTTTACATTTTTGGGGGGATTTTTCATGTTTCAATTGCTATTTGGGGGATAAATCATTAAATGTCATTAAACTAGTGCAGAAGAATTATAACATTAAAAATTTGCTATCTTAATAAGATGAAAAGAATTTTCAGTATGAAGTTAGTTAATGTTTTATATGTACTATGTACACCCAATGTCTTTTTGTTGTTAGTAATTTTGTAATTTTGCTGATATTTCAGGCCAGTCACCTTTTGTATTCCCACCAGTGCAATCAGATGGTATGCTTTCTTCCTTTATAGTGAACAATTGAACAATGATTTTGTAGCATTGTATTTCCTTATTTTATAGACAATATTTGCTTGTTCAATAATTAAACAAAAAGTTTTAAAGATATAAAAATTTCAATTCAATCCTATAATCTAATCTTTTGTATATTATGTCTTGTGTTGTGACTTGATTAGATCTTATAGAAAATTGTAAATTTAATTTTTTTTTTTTACATACGGCAAAATTGTATTCATTATATTCAAATGTATGAACAAATGTGATTTCTGGTAATATTTTAGTACCACCACCAAGCCTGCCCTTTCCTGGGCTCCCATCTGATATGCTTCAACCGCCGGTGACCGGTCCACCGGCACTTCCTCCGGGACCAGCACCAGTAGACTTCTTCTGCCCACCGAGACCGGACACCGGAACTGATGGTCGCCCAATTCTTCTTCGTGCTAACCATTTTCAAGTGAGAATACCAAAAGGGGCTATCCATCACTATGACATCTCAATTACACCAGATAAATGCCCACGTAGGGTTAACAGGTAAGCTCGATCTCAGATCTCAGGTATTTGATTGGTCGGAAACTACCACAAAATGTTAGCTGACCAATGAAAATCCTGAAATTTGAGACGCAAGTTAGAGAAAAAGTTTTGTAACCTTGAGGCCAAAACTCTGTACTGAAGTTTGATGTTTTTTATCAGGAAATTTGAATTCTTAGTGAAAAAAATGGTAATGGTATCCATGAAAAACTGAAGACAGTGTTAATGTTAGAATATAATAGAATAATTAATAATAATAAAACGTTTTTAGCGATACAAATTTGATCCCCCAAATGCTTATTGCTAAAGGTGTTTCACACGTCAAGTTTTAAGAAATTCAATTGAACAGTTAATTTTGCCTATATGTCAAATATGAAAACTTCTGAAACCCTTGTGAAGCTACAGGTTTTACTTCTTAGAATCATTATGTACTACCTGCCTTAGAATTTCACAAAACTATGACAAAAATGTGTGCGATTTTGTGTATTTTAGAGAGATCGTAGAAACAATGGTGCAGGCATATCAACAAAAGATTTTCCAGGGATCCAAGCCAGTATTTGATGGAAGGAAAAACCTCTACACCAGAGATCCACTGCCAATAGGCAAAGACAAGGTGAGTGTTTTTCACATTTTGTCTCGAGTGGATAAGGTCGTTGACTTCAAACCACTTGCCCGCCACCACTGTGGGTTTGAATCCCAACAGGGACTTTGGATTTTTTCATGTGAGGAAGGTGTCCGGCAAGCTTACAGAATGTCGGTGGTTCTACTCAGGTGCCAGTTTATGCCTGAAATAATGCATGGAAGGGCATCTGAGGTTTTCCTCCACCAGTAAAGCTGGAACGTCGCCAAATGACCTATACTGTGTCAGTGTGACATAAAACCCAATTAAACAAACAAACACATGTTATCATCCATGCATTTCTGTTGCTCTTCGTATTTACTTTAAAAGAAATTTGGGGCATTTTTAAGACTGCAAATGTGAATTTCTAAATTTCTAAGTCTATTGCCTTTGATTTTAAGAAAGTTGATTAATAGCATTCTAGCTTTATTGATTTTAACTGAATTTCTACAATGTATGTTTCCCTTAGCAACCTTATTGATGGAATTTTGCCCAAAAATAGATTTATATTTTTAATCATTTTAGAAAATTGAAAAATGGTTTGTTCAGGTACTAAAAGAACAGTACTTCTTAAGATATGTGCATCACGACTGAATATTTCTGACAAATTAATCATAAAGTATCAAATATCCAAGTTATAATAACTTATTGCTTGTCAACCAAATTGCTTGGTAGATATAGATGGATATATTTCATTTAAAAAAGTGTTATCCTGCTTTTAAAGCTTAGACAGCCTTTACTATAAGGTGAACCCATGTATATTTTTACCATATTAAAACACAAGCACTTAGCAGGCCCTAAGACTAGAAACACCCATTAGATAGATCTATCTATCCAAAGGACTTGCCTGTGCCAGAAATGAAGAGCTGAAATATTCCCATGCATGTCTTCATTGCCGTTTGTCCATTGCAAACAAATATCCTAAAAAAATAAATCTTTTCCTTGAGAAGCGTATTTTTTACTGCCAATATTCAGTTATCTGTTGGAGAATGGTAAGTATTGGATAAAGAAACTAAGATTATTACTTATCAGAGAATAAATCTCTCTCTGCTGAAAGATACAAGTGTTGAAAGTTTTCAACAAACATGGTAAAATTTCGAATGATACAATCTTAACAGTGGACCATAGTTTTGTATATGTAAGTTTCAAAGGTGGCTGGTGATGATTTGAGTGACTAAATGCATTTACACTGCCCTCCATAAGATCTTAGATAATAAAACTTGTTCTTGTAAACCAGTCAAAACCCAGGGCTATTTATCTCTTCCGTACCAGGGGCCGTTTGAAAATTCTTTGAAATCATGTAGTTTAACCCAAAAATTGAATTTGCATCAAGTTTTTTTTCTTCCCCTTTCACAAATATACCTTTTCATTTTTCCCACAAAACTAAAGGCAGGGCTGCTTCCCAAAGCAGTGGAAAAAAGCCCTGAAACCCTTAATTGCTGGAAATGAAATTGTTTTGCCTTACCTATCTTATAATCTATCTGTATAAAGCCAGACAGGCCTGCACATCTGTGCAGGTTGAACAGACTCAAACATATGGACCTACAATTTCTAAGTAATATTATTTTGAAATATAATATTGTGTAAGAATTTGGGGAAAAGTGAATCTAGTTATATTGAAACATGGAAAAAAATTCTTTATTGTTGAGAATTAGTAAATATATCTGTTAAACAGAGTGATACGTTTTATTTTTTAAAAAGATAGAAGAAATTGTGACTTGAAATTGTATTTAAACTTAACTTGTGTTCAAACATGAAAGAAGTTTGAAATTTTCAAAATTGTGTGTATTTCAATATACTGATTATAATAATATTTTGATACTTTTCATTCTTGTGATTAAAATTCTTCTAAAAAATTGCCTTGGGTGAATTTCTGTGAAGTTGAATTTTCATTTGACATCCCCAAAATTGATAATGGACAGGTCTAGAAATGTAAGCTGGACAACTTCATTATGAAATACCTCAGGTTCAGGGTTTAACAGTGAGATGCTTCTGATTGGTTAAATCTGACATCAGATTTGAAAATTGTCCAATGAAAGAGAGCTTCTTCAACAGACTGGTTTACAATTTCTAAGTTATATTATTTTGAAATATTAAATTGTCTAAGAATTTGGGGAAAAAAATGAATCTAGTTGAATTGAAACATGGAAAAAAATGCTTTATTGTTGAAAATTAGTAAATATATCTGTTAAACTGAGTGATATGTTTTATTTTTTTTAAAAATAGAAGAAATTGTGACTTGAAATTGTATTTAAACTTAACTTGTGTTGAAACATGAAAGAAGTTTGAAATTTTCAAAATTGTGTGTATTTCAATATACTGATTATAATAATATTTTGATACTTTTCATTCTTGTGATTAAAATTCTTCTAAAAAATTGCCTTGGGTGAATTTCTGTGATTTCAATAAAATTTTTGGAGCGGAAAAAAATGTTTTTATTATATATGTGATGCTTGGAGGGCAGTGTATGTTTCTAAAGGAACACTAGGTTACACACTAGACAAGAATGTGCTATTTCTCTGTTTTTCCCTAGATTGAGCTAGAGGTTACGTTACCCGGAGAAGGGAAAGACCGAGTGTTCACCATACAATTAAAATGGCAGGCGCAGGTCTCCCTGTTTGCACTGGAGGAGGCCCTCAAAGGGCAAGGGCATATCATCCCTTTTGAGTCTGTCCAAGCCCTTGATGTCATTATGCGACATTTGCCGAGTCTAACGTGAGTAGATACCCTTGTTTGACACACAAAAAACAATACCAAAACTCCTCACAAACACAAAAAACACTAACAGCTTTTGTTGTTTTGTTTGTCGTTAAGTAGATGTTTGTTTTGTGTACATTTTCTCAGGTGGAACTAGAGTTAACGCTCCCGGGTGAAGGCAAAGATAGAATATTTAAAGTAACCATGCGCTGGGTTGCCCAGGTGAGTTTGGCCGCGTTAGAGGAGGCACTACTGGGTCGGTCTCAGAGAATTCCCATCGAGGCAACACAGGCGCTGGACGTTGTCATGAGACATCTACCCAGTATGAAGTAAGTCTGGTGTTTCTACATCAGGGGTATGAGAACACGCACATCATCACTGTTAATGTCAGTATTGCAGTATTGTATCTCAAGTGCTTATCTCTTTATCCTGCGGAATGCAACCAGGAAACCAGGTAGTTCACATGAAATAGGGGGAAAATTCTTGAGAATTTTGATTTTTTTGGTCAAATAATTTCTTGAGAATTCAACTTTTTTGGTCAAATAAGTTTACGTCTACTACTGTGTGCTGCTCATCCAATTTGTGATTTACACTAGCTATCCAAAGTTACATAACAAAATAGCTTTTATATGATAAGTTTTAATCTTTCATCTCTCTAGATCTGTTGGGCCCTTCTTAAAGTTACATATCATATACCTTTTATATGATAAGGTTGAAATTTTCATCTCTTTAGGTCTTTAACTCCCCCCGTGGTCGAGGGGTAAGAGTCGATGACTTCTAATCCAGCTACCTCTCTGGCGTGGGTTCGATCCCCAGGAGATGCGTTGGTAGTTTAGCGCAGAGGAAGGTAGTCTAGTACTGGTGTAACTCTCCAGGAACGATGGTTAGGAAACTACCCCCCTATATGACTGAAGTACCTTTGGAAAAAGGCGTAAAATGAAACAAACAAACAATCTTTAGGTCTGTAGTTGGAACATCCTTAGCTTTTTAGGATAGGTATAGGTTTTATAGTCATTAAGCCTTATGGTTAGAAATGTTATTAAAATACCATATACATATATATCTGTCATCCATAAGGTTATCAAGTTTTGCACATTATGCTTGTTTGTGCTTAACTGAAATAATGCATAGATAGAGGGAGCCTGAGTTCTCCTGCATCAGTAAAGTTATCAATCTCCATGTTGTAATGACAGTTTTTCTTAAGTCAATAGTATCAAAAATATGAAGAAATCAAGCTAAAGGTTATTTTTACTGTTTGGCTTTTACTTGGGGCTTAAAAGGGTGAAAGTAATAACTCAAATGAAGGTTTAGCCAGGATGAAATTAAATGTTTGCCTGAACTGAACTGACCACAAGTTGCATGATTTCGGATGTGACAAATTTCGGATACAAAATGCAGCTATTTTGAATGTCTGGTTTCACTAGAGAGTTGGTGGAATGTTTGTTATATGAATTAGCATGTGATAGTTGTACTAACCTTCATACTATTCTTATGTTTGTTCTTTTTATTATATTCTGCTGTGTATATATACATGTATATAATTTATACTTCTTTTATTTTAGCTATAAAAGGGTATAAAATTGTGACAAGTTCTTAATCATTACATGCTTCAGTTGAGTTTTAGCTTGTCTGTTTTGAAGAAAAAAAGCTTAGCTTTCATGATCACTGCAGCGTCGATGTCGTCGTTGTCTTGCAAAAACTTTAAATAAAGCCCATTTATACTTAAAACAACTTTAAAGGTTTAAGTTGAAAACTTGGAATGCTTGCTTATCATGTTAAGTCATCATAGTTTGACAAGGGGCATCATTCTGAAAGCTATATTTTTGGAGTTATGCCCCTTTTCACCTTAATTTTTTGTTTTAAGATTCTGTAAATAATTTTTGATATTATTTCATAAATCTGACGCTCAAATGAAGGTTTATCAATATTTTAAGTTCAAAAAAATAAAATTTGCAAGATATTACCGAATTTACATTTTTACATTTTACATAAATAAAGGGAGGTAATTAGAAATCTATTTTCGATAAAGTCTATGCCCAAATTTTTCAATAAGAAGTGAATGCATATATTTTAATGATTACTTATAATGCAAATAAAAATTTGCGGTACATATTTAACATATTCTTTGATGTTTGGAAATTGTTTTAGATCTGATGAATATTTATATACATAATTATATGAAATTTCACTTAAATGTTGATATATCCTTAATTACAACATACAAGATCTTTAATAAACAAGCGTCAAGACCACATAAAAAATGTTTTAAACATTTATAATTTTTCCTCTATCAAAGGATTATTTTTTTGTTCAGTAATTAGATTAATAGATTTGTACTGAATTAGCATGAAGATGTGATTATATTTTTTCGATGCTATCTTTTCTCACCGAAGCATCTCCTTCTCATATCCATTATCTTGCACAGTTTGTATTTCTAAATAAGATTTGTACTGTACATAACTAAAAGCTTGAAAACAAAAAAAATGAGCCGTGTAATGACAAAACCAACATAATGGGTTTGCGACCAGCATGGATCCAGACCAGCCTGCACATCCGCACAGTCTGATCAGGATCCATGCTATTCACTAACAAACCCTATAACAAGTAGAGAAACTGACAGTGAACAGCATGGATCCTGATCGCAAACGCACTATGTTGGTTTTGTCATGACGCGGCTCAAATGTTGAAAAAGTTTGTGGAAACTTATGAAATAATTAGTTTAGTTTAGAATATTTATTTAAGCTAAATTGCGAAACAAGTTTGTGCAACTTATATTAACCACTTTCTTGTCCGCTTCCTGGAACTAACTAGTACTTTTGTCATATGAAAAAAACATGATGGTGACCCGAGTAGGGCTCAAACCCATGATCCCTGGGTTGAGAGGCAGACACCTTAACCACTAGGCCACTGCTCCCATTAGGATGATAATAATGGGGATCGCTGTACAAGATATGTAACTCTAGCATTGATTTTGACTGAGTTATTCCCCTTTATGAAAACAATTTGCTGGTTGATGTTTTTTGTGCATGTTCTATCTCTAAAACAAGTGAATGTATTTACAGGAAACTTTACATACATATATATTTTGCCAGTGTCATAATTTAATGTCACTAAAGATAACCTACAATGGTAGTAATGATTTCTTACCTAATTATCTCACCGTAGTGAAATTTGAAATTTTAACATTATCCTGACTTTTACAATTAAGAACAAGAAATTTTCAGCAAGCAGTCCCTTTCTTGTTTCATTGTTAAGATTTGCAACAGATAAATTGTGAATGTGAAAAAACAAATGAAAATTTTCCAATTTCATTGACATATTATTTTCTGAAATGGATATTTTAGTTCTTAAAAATGTGCTAAAAGTGTTATTCAAGTGCTTGAAAACAAAATTATTTATGTAATGAAAATTCTAATTCTGTCAGATGTGCTTTAAGTGCTGTTCATGTAGCTTGAAAACAAATTTGATGGTTGTTTATTTCAGTTATACGCCAGTTGGTCGGTCTTTTTTCTCACCACCAGAGGGTTACGATCATCCGTTAGGCGGAGGTAGAGAGGTGTGGTTTGGTTTCCATCAGAGCGTACGACCTTCACATTGGAAAATGATGCTAAATATAGATGGTATGTGAATATCGGTCAATAACTCAATTTGGGCAAAAATGCATGCCATTGGTTATAGTGTGACAGTATTTATCTCTATAGCTTCTAGCTTGTGTGTTAGGACACCAGGTTTTCCTATTAAGTAATCTATGAAATACAATTGATTTATTTAATCATAACATAAGTGGTCTAAGGTGTGGGTCCGAATCCTATTTAGGACATCAGATTTTCCAATTCAGTAATCTATGAAATACAGTTGTTTTACTTTTGATTACAAAAGTGTACTCTAAAGAAAGTTGCAGGACTTAAAGAGATGTTCCTTCAAGTCTTCACAAGTTTCGTAACGTTCAGCCATATGGCCTGATCAGTGTTACGCAGCTTACAACTTAACCCACTCAAAATCATGTCAACATATTTTGTTCTTAACACCCTAACCAAGCTCTTAATCATTGGCTATTTTCAAATTTTCATCTTGATATCTCCAAAATTGATAATGTTGTGGTGTGGCTGAGTGGCTAACAAGCCAGACTAGTAATCTGAGGATTGCTGGCCGTGCTGGTTCAAGCCTTGTTAGGAGCAAGCCGTTGTTTCCTTGAGCAAGAAACTTTACACTCATTGCTTAGTACTGGTTGGTTCCAGGAATGAATTTGATAGTTTTTCGATAAGCTAATAGCTTCCAATGCATTCATACTAAAAAAAATACGTATAGACTTAAATTGATAATTGATAGTTCCAAAAATGGAATCTGGAAAATCCATTTAGGAAATTAAAGTATTAAGTGTTTATCAAATGACAACAAATGTTAAGATCCTTCACATATATTCTATATCGTATCACTAGTTAAACTGCTGAAAAGGTAAAATTAACAATTTTGAAACATTTAGTTAATATAGTTGTGTAAATATTTTGTTTTACAGTATCAGCGACAGCATTTTACAAAGCGCAGCCAGTTATAGAGTTTATGTGCGAGGTATTAGATATGAAAGATATGTCAGAACAAAAACGTCCCCTCACTGACTCTCAGAGAGTTAAATTCACCAAAGAAATCAGAGGTATGGTATACTTGTTTCTTTAACCTTTTCCCTGATACAGCCCCCTTAATTTACTGCTTTACACCCCATAATACAGTAGCCAGATAGATAATCAATAATCAATATCCTACTGATAAGGAGTCACACACTATCTCCATATAGGGTATGATAAATTATAGATAAAATTGGTCAAATTAGATACCTATATACTTTAACTGGAAAATAAAGTATTAAGTTGTGTTTTGACAATTTTTGTATCAATAAAAAGTTTGTAGAGAATTGAAATACCTTTCCAATGGTATAAATATCATATTTGTTGGGTTTATACAAATATGTCTACATGAGTTATAAAGTAATAAACTATATACTTGATGGTGTTTTTTTCTCCATTGTTTCAGATAAATTAGGCTACTTATGTGTTTTAACTAATGTGAAATGGTTTAATTACAAGTTTGACAATATATATGTCAATGTAAGATTTGTAGAGATTTGAATTATCTTACCAGTGGTATAAATTTTATATTTGTGGGCTTTATAACAGTATAATTACAGTAGTTATAAACAATAAAATGATGTATAATTTTTCTCTCATATGGGAAATATGGCTAATTTATTATTAATTTTTTTGGTTTATGCAGCATTCATTTTTAGTGAAATAAATAACAACAAGTTCTTTTTTTACCTTTTTTTATACCAGTAAAAAGAAATCTCACTTTGTTTTTTTTTTATTTATTTTATCAGTTTTTTTTTATAATTTATTTCATAATAGTAACTGTCATTTCTGTAATACATGTATATAACTGTTGAATGAAATATTTCAGAATTTCTGCTGTCATGGTCATATATTTTCTTCATGAATTATGAATTTAATTAAATTTTATCATTTATAGATCTAATTTAGATCAAATGATGATAAAGGAAAGACATCCTCGAGTTCCACGGCCTTTTCAGCATTTTCATGTTGCCGACATCAAAGATGATATATGGAATATGATTTTATCATGTCGTATAATACACGGCCCCATGCTGTGTCTGTTATGAAAACAATAGCGCACATGAAAGAATTTAAACTATTAAACATTTCTTTGTCAGTCATTTTTCTTAAAAAAAATCGCCGCTGCTACCGGAAATATTTTATTGCAGGGGCCAGAGAGATACCCCTAGTCAGGACGTTAATTAATCCGTGTATATACACATGTCAGCTATCATAAACCAAAACAAACATCAAATCCATTATACCATGCCTTGCACGTGAACGACCCGTGATCATATAAATACTATTTATTCATTAGATGCTATTTTTAGACACTTTTGTTCCTGTCTTACGATACGTTCTATATTTATTTCATTGACCCGCGCACTCATTAACTGCGTGACGTAAGGAAAACCCCTCACCTGGTTGGTCGCTAATTATACAAAAACTTTAAATAGTAACACCATAATTTTATGCACGGAATCCCCTCATGAAATGTTGATCTTTACGATAACACAATTTACAGGTCTATTTTCCGGGAAAATTGTTGATTTTTGGACAGGTAAATATTGAAGTCGGCGAAAGTCGCTTCCATTGAGATCATGCATGTCGGCGATTCTCGCTTACATGCGGTAATCGATAAAGCCGTCGATTCTCGCTTCTATCAGGGAATGGTAAAAGACGGCGATTCTCGCTTCTACAAGGGAAAAGGTTAAAGCGGCCTTAAGATTTTATTTTTATTTGGGAAAACAATTACATGTTGTTTCAGACTAAGTATTTCAATAATTCTATCTTCGAAAAGTGCATTATACGTATAAGTACGTTTATTTCTAACAAATCTATTGTTCATTACCTTATATGTGATTGGTTAACTTAACTTGGTCATGCAATCAGTGAGCACGTAGTGTTGTATTTTTTGGTAAGCAAATCAGAATGGCTTCAAACGTCAGTGTAGAAAAAATTAAATAAAATCAGACATGAACCAAAAAGAATCGAATCAAGGTGCATGAAATCAATATCGGATCAAATTGAACATTTGGTGAATCATTGCAGTCCTAATATAGATCATAATGATTAACAATGTATAAACCATTTAAAAAAATGATTAACAATTGCAGGTCTAAAGGTAGAGATTACACATTGTGGACAAATGAAGAGAAAATATAGAGTATGTAATGTGACACGTAGACCAGCACAAACACAATCGTAAGTTGACTCATATGTTTGTAGATTTTGAAATTGGTTAAAAAAAATGAAATTTTTTTCATGTACAGCAATCTTGACAGCAATTAGTGTGACATCTGTCTATCTTGACTTTGATACTGAAAATAAAGTTTATTTTGCTAAAAATTTATATATTTTTAGCTCACCTGTCACAAAGTGACAGGGTGAGCTTTTGTGATCGCTTTTCGTCCGGCGTCCGTCCGTCCGTAAACTTTTACTTTAAATGACATCTCCTCATAAACCACTAAGCCAATTTCATCCAAACTTCACAGGAATGTTCCTTTGGTGGTCACCTTTAAAAATTGTTCAAAGAATTTAATTCCATGCAGAACTCTGGTTGCCATGGCAACCGAAAGAAAAAACTTTAAATATCTTCTTTTAAAAAACCCTAAGAGCTAGAGCTTAGATATTTGGCATGAAACATCTTCTAGTGAGTGTCTACCAAGTTTGTTCAAATAAAATCCCTGGGGTCAAAATTGGCCCCGCCCCAGGGGGTCATTGATTTTCCCTATATGCATATAGTAAAAACTTAAAAATTCTTCTTTTAAAGAACCCAAAGAGCTAGAGCTAATATATTCAGCACGGAACATCTTCTAATGAGTGTGTACCAAGTTTGTTCAAATAAAAGCCCTGGGGTCAAAAATGGCCCCGCCCCAGGGGGTCATTGATTTTCCCTATATGCATATAGTAAAAACTTAAAAATTCTTCTTTAAAAGAACCCAAAGAGCTAGAGCTAAGATATTCAGCATGAAACATCTTCTAATGAGTGTGTACCTAGTTTGTTCAAATAAAAGCCCTGGGGTCAAAATTGGCCCTGCCCCAGGATTGATTTTCCCTATATGCATATAGTAAAAACTTAAAAAAATTTCTTTAAAAGAACCCAATGAGCTAGAGCTAAGATATTCAGCATGAAACATCTTCTAATGGGTGTCTACCAAGTTTGTTCAAATAAAAGCCCTGGGGTCAAAATTGGCCCCGCCCCGGGGGTCATTGATTTTCTTTATATGTGTATAGCAAAAACTTTAATAATCTTCTTTGAAAAAACCCAAATAGCTAGAGTTTAGATATTAAGCATGAAACATCTTCTAGTGAGTGTCTACAAAGTTTGTTCAAATAAAAGCCCTGGGGTCAAAATTGGCCCCGCCCCGGGGGGTCTTAATTTTCCCTATATGCATATAGTAAAAGGATTTAACTCAATACAGGATTGGAGCAGTACCTTTAGACGCTTGCAAAAATCATGATCACAAAATAGACAAATATCGTTTTTTTCGCCGGTTTTTACATTTTTCATGCATTATCATACATAAATCGGTGTGAAAAGATGAATTAGACCTTTTAAAGTTCATTCCGTTGGGTGAAAAGGCAAGATTTTAGCATTTTATCATTCAAGCGTCTTGTCCGGTATATGCCGGAATACGGTATTTAGTGTGGTGCTCCAATCCTTTTTTAGTCACACTCATAGTAAAAACTTAAAAAATCTTCTTTGAAAAAACCTAAATAGCTAGAGTTTAGATATTGAACATGAAACATCTTCTAGTGAGTGTCTACCAAGTTTGTTCAAATAAAATCCCTGGGGTCAAAATTGGCCCCGCCCCAGGGGGTCATTGTTTTTCCCTATATGCATATAGTAAAAACTTAAAAATTCTTCTTTAAAAGAACCCAAAGAGCTAGAGCTAAGATATTCAGCATGAAACATCTTCTAATGAGTGTGTACCTAGTTTGTTCAAATAAAAGCCCTGGGGTCAAAATTGGCCCTGCCCCAGGATTGATTTTCCCTATATGCATATAGTAAAAACTTAAAAAATTTTCTTTAAAAGAACCCAATGAGCTAGAGCTAAGATATTCAGCATGAAACATCTTCTAATGGGTGTCTACCAAGTTTGTTCAAATAAAAGCCCTGGGGTCAAAATTGGCCCCGCCCCGGGGGTCATTGATTTTTTTTATATGTGTATAGCAAAAACTTTAATAATCTTCTTTGAAAAAACCCAAATAGCTAGAGTTTAGATATTAAGCATGAAACATCTTCTAGTGAGTGTCTACAAAGTTTGTTCAAATAAAAGCCCTGGGGTCAAAATTGGCCCTGCCCCGGGGGTTCTAGATTTTCCCTATATGCATATAGTAAAAACTTAAAAAATCTTCATTGAAAAAACCTAAATAGGTAGAGTTTAGATATTAAGCATAAAACATCTTCTAGTAAACGGCTACAAAGTTTGTTCAAATAAAAGCCCTTGGGGCGGACGGGGGCCGGTGAGATCATTGTTTTTCATTACATGTGTGTAGTAAAAACTTATTATTGTGAAACATCTTCTAATGAGTGTCTTCCAAGTTTGTTCAAATAAAAGCCCTGGGGTTTAAACTGGCCCCACTCCGGGGGCCTATATACAGGTGAGCGACCTCAGGGCCATCATGGCCCTCTTGTTTACTTTGATATTGGGGTGTAAATAGTAGAGGAAAAATAAAAAAGGAGATATGTTGATATGGGGGGTGGGGTGGGGGTGATTTTAATGAATGGGAAGTGAGTTGAGCGGATTGGTAGAATATTATTTTGTTGGGAAAAAAAATGATTTTGTAAAAGTAAAAACAGAAAAAGGTTAATAAAAACTACAATTTTGATACTTATTCATATCTTGGGAAAATATATAATTTCCTTATTTCTTTGCAGAATTTCTTAAACCAGTGTAAAAATGTGTGTTATTGAGTTGAATATATAACATTCAATCGAATTCTAACAAGTTTAAATAAAAGTTTTTATGAAGATTATCATTTTTTAAAAAGAAAGATAAAATAGGAGTAAAAATTGTACTCTTACTTTCCTCCGGACATGATAATATTGAAAAAAATATTTTTAAAATGGATCATATATAAAATACTAAGTTACAATGATTGTATTGTTTTGTTACAGTTTCCCACTACAATTAGATTCAGGACAGACAGTCGAGTGTACAGTAGCGAGATATTTCCTGGAGAGATATAAGATGAAGCTAGCCTACCCACATCTACCATGTCTACAAGTAGGACAGGAACAAAAACATACATATCTACCACTGGAAGTAAGTTAAAATTGCGTCCTTAATTTTCTGAGCGTATACCCGCAATGTTTTCCAAAAAAGTGAATGTTTTAAAAGATACTATAAATTTCAGTTTCATTTTGAAGAATATGAATGAAAATTTGAAAAACTGGTTTATTTTATTCTGGTGTTATTGATATATATCAAGGTTCATCTAATGCATAGGTACTGGTATATTGCCATAGATCATTACTTGAAGTGTGGGTTGGATTTGTTACGAGACATAAACTGGGGGTGGGGGAGGGGGGAAGTTCAACATCTAAGATAGATAAAGGTGGAAAGACGTTGGAAGTATACTTTATGATGGTAGACCCTTTTATTGTTGAAACAAGGTTATTACAGATTGTGGTTTATTTTACATTATAGGTGTGCAATGTTGTTGGCGGACAGAGATGTATAAAGAAACTCACAGATAATCAGACTTCGACCATGATCAAGGTTTCTCAAATAAGTTCCCCTTTAATCACAGCACACAAGTTATACTTTGCCCTTTTTATACTTTACTAACGTTGACAACTGCAGCCGTGCAAAAATAAAAATCTTAATTATTTTTCTATGTGGTATGAAGGGCGTAATACTGGTTGTGTGACATTTACAGATATCATTTGTCCATTGACAACTGTTGCCTTGCAAAATATCTTGTGGTTTTTTTTTTTTGGTGTGTGAAAGACATTTTACTGGTAATGTGATACTTACAGGTTTCTTTTGTGCAGGGTTTTTATTATTAACAGATTGGCGATCCACAACGTCAGTTTAAATGCTGTTTAGATCAGTTGTATTTTCAGCTTCTAGATTTAAATATCCCACTTGATAACCCTTGCCCAAAATTTGTTGTATTCGTTGGCACATCTGTTGCCTCAGATAAAAATAGATACCCTGTTGTTCATATTGTATTATTTCTTGTGCGAGGAAGCTACCCACTTAATCCTGCATGGTTTTAGAGTAAAATAGTGAAAAATATCCTCCGTGCTTTCAGTTGTTATTCAAACTACTGTCTACATATGATTTGAAATTTTGAGTTGAAATTCTAATGCAATGGTGTATGTTACACATCTGATGAATTTTAATCTTCCTGGAAGTTCCATTCCAAGAAATTCAGAATAGTTTGTACAGATATGTTGTGTAGAAAACCCTATGTTGTTTAGTTCATCGAAGAGGAATTTGTCTAGCTGCCTTGTCAGGAGTGAGTTCTTAAATGGTGTATTAGCTTAACTAACCATTTTTTTTTAATATGGTTTCAAATTAAGATTTGGTAAGGTAAGAAAATTGACCCTGTTGAAATGAAGCAATATGGTTTCATTTGCAAGGTTGAAAATCATGTAAGAGGTTCCATACACTCTTGCATTTATACAAGAAGGGGTTGTAGCATTTAGAGAACACACTGAAGCTTCCTTTTTTGGAAAATTTTTTGATTTTGTTAAAAAACCCTGTGCAATAAATTTCCCCTTTTGAGTAGAAATTACCAAAATTTGTGGAAAGTTGTTGTATGCCCTTTATTGACCAAAAAGGGGGAAAGTTTTAAACCCCAAAAGCGCCAGTAAGGGCCCAAAAAAGTTTGTAGATTGGGCCCAAAGCTCCATTAATGACCTAAAGCTGTAGATTGGACCCAATGCTTCAGTAATGACCTAATGGTGTAGATTGAACCCAATGCTTCAGTAATGACATAAAGGTGTAGATTGAACCCAATGCTTTATTAATGACCTAAAGGTTTAGATTGGAACCAATGCTTCAGTAATGACCTAAAGGTGTAGATTGGACCCAATGCTTCAATAATGACCTAGATTAGACCCAGTGCTTCAGTAATGACATAATAGTGTAGATTGGACCCAATGTTTCAGTAAATTGCAACATAAAAGTGGTAAGAAGTTTGGGGGGACCCCCAAATTGGGGCCCCCCCACCCCCCCCCTTTTTCCAAGTAAATGGGGGGAAAACCCAATGCCCTTCAAGTAAAATCAGCAACAGGCTACTTGTAAGTAAAGCCTGTGTTACTGTGAGTTAATGGATATTTACTTGGGTTTCCGGGGTCATGAATTAATTTAACATCATTTAAAGGTATAGAGTGGATTAGAAAGCTAGCTGATTTATTGCCAGAGCTTTATTGTCCTTTGTTGCCTTAAGATTTGGACTTATTTCATTGTCCGTTTAAACTTTGACATGATGTATAGTCGCAGATTTTGAAATATTTTGTTGGCGTCTTTAAGTGGGACCTGATTAATTTTCCCATTGAACATATCCTTTAAAGTTGGGACATGATTTAATGTACTATAGAATTGGGTATATTTTATAGTTCTGTAGAGATATGTTTTGTTATCCCTTAGAATTCGACACAATTCATTGTTCTTAAGAATTTGACATAATTTGATATCCAATTATAAAGTTGGGTAAAGTATAAGACAATTATGTGTTTGTATGGATAAATTATAGACTGAAGCCTATAATTTTTCTTAGCTAGATAATATGCTTGTTTAAATTTGTGGAAAATTGTTCGGCTGTGTAGCTAAAAATTTAAACATTTCATAGAAATTTGTAGTCACGTTCTTCATTCCATTATATGCTGCCTGGAAGAATATATTTCAGTTTTCACACAGGTTGACATTGCATTTTAGTATCATTTAGCTTTAATGGCATATAAGGGAACTGTTATTGCTGTAATACAATATTCTATAGACATGTAGACGACTGAGCTTGCTCTGTCTAGTTGTGGTATTTAGGCAAGTCATCTCTGGCTGTAAGTGGTCAGACAGTTCTAAGAGTTTTGCTGTGAAAATGCTATATTTTTGAAATTTTGTGCTTGAATTTTTTTTTTGCTTTTCCCTTTTTTTTTTCATTAAATTTTTTTAAAATAATATTTGGGTTTAAATGCCAGTTTTTGATTAAAAATAAATGTTTTCAATTTTTTATGGTATATAAATTTGGAACCCTTTCAAAAGATTTTAGTAAATTTAAAACTAAAAATGAAAGTGTTTTTTTTTTTTCTTGAAGTCTGAAATAGGTTTACGTTTGCTTTTATATTATTCTACATTGTTGCACTCTGTCTATATGTAATACTGCATTGCTTATGTAATTTGTCACCTTAAATGCAGCAACTGAATAACCCTCTATTGAATTTTAAATAGGAGTTAACATAGGTGAAAATATGCTGTGTCTTCATAATTGATCTTAAATTTCTTTAGATTTACAAAAACTTGACAGCATATGAGTTTTTTTGGAATTTTTAGAAAACATTTTCATGACTTAAAAAAGAGAAAAATGTAATAATGTAATGTCTTTATTTTGTAGGCGACAGCTAGGTCAGCACCAGACAGAGAAAAGGAAATTAACAATCTTGTAAGTGACATCCTTAGTTTCTTTAACTAGTGGAAATATTATGGATTTAATAGTTGACTGTCAAGTGAATTTTCACCTTATATAACTTGAGGCCTGTTGAAGTTTTCTTTGAAATCATGCAGTTTTCCCAAAAACTGAACTTACCCCAGCTTCTGTTCTTCCCAAATTGGAAATTTAAGTGATATTTCTTTTTTTTTCCAAAATCAAGAGGCTAAGGCCTCTTTTTCAATTTAATTCAATTAAGAAAGATCAATGACTGTTGAAAGGATTATGTGATGTAATGGTCAGGCAACTGTATGGTCTTCTGTTTGACAGGTAGCCTGTGTAATGGCCAACAAGTGGGGCACCAGTGTGTTACTAAACTTTATTGTGAACGACTGTGGTAGTTGAAGTGTACATTTATCGACTATTTACTATTATAGTCTGTTAGAACAGACCAATAAGTTTAAAATCAAATTTTGCCGGCGGCCATGAATATGTACGATTGCTGGCCATGGCTTTGTACGACAGACAAGATAAGACTGTATTATTCTTTTTTTCATGTGAACGTCGAGTTTGATGGTTACTATTCTATTTGTGTAGGTACGTAAAGCGAACTTCAACTCGGACCCGTACCTTCAGACGTTTGGAATCAGTATTATACCACAGATGGTGGACGTTCACGGCCGAGTCCTGAACCCACCTAAAATTCAGTATGGAGGAAGGGTAGGTTTAAATGTAAATATTGAAACAGCGTCTATTATTTACTCGTCCAGAGATTTTTTGAATGTGACTCTATTTATTCACTGGGTGAAAAGAAATGACTTTGATCAGGGATGACTTAAGCTCGGGAAATTTGTATCAAAATTCATGTTAGCTCAGGGGAACTTGTATCAAAATTTAAGTTGGCTTGGGAAACATGTTTCAAAAATTCAAGTTAGCTCGGGAAACTTATAACAAAATTCAAGTTAGCTTGGGAAACTTGTATAAAAATTCAAGTTAGCTTGGGAAACTTGTATCAAAATTCAAGTTAGCTCAAGAAACTTGTATCAAAATTCAAGTTAGCATGGGAAACTATTATTAAAAGGGAAACTTGTATCACTATCCAAATAAGCTGGGGAAATTGTATAAAAATTCAAGTTAGCTTGAGAAACTTGTATCAATATTTATATTTATTTATTTGCGTATTAATATAGGCATAAATTAAAAAGAAGGAAAGAAAGAAGTAGAATTTTCATATAGCTTTAATTAAGTTTGGAATTTCATGGAACTGTGAATAAAGAAATTAATTTCAGATACAAGTTTATCAGATTTTTTTTCTAATTTAAAAACAGTTGAAAAATCGCTGGATGAAATAGTGGTAGAGTTTTTGTATTAAAACTATGTTATATTATGTTAATATGTTAAAATACAGTTAATGTCAATAAATTTATTTTTCATTTTCCAGCTTTTTATTGATAATTTCTTTTGATGCTTATATACTTGTATCATAAAAATGTTTATCATCTGATTGTCTTGTTGATGCAATTTTGTATGAAATGCTTAACTTTATAATTATATTTTAATGATGTATAACACCTATATCAGTTTATATTTTAGTTAGTATATCAATAATCTATACTGTGTATGCATACATAATGTTTTATATATAGTCTATTGTATTCAAGAATTAGTTATTTTAGCTTGGAAAGGAATGCTTGTTATTGGCTTGCCAGTACAAAGAAGTCTCGTGTCTGAAGATAATAACTGTTGCTTTAAGATATAACTTTTTGCTTTATGCATCTTGTAAATTTAACTAAGTGTAAGACCATGTCATATTAAACATAAAATTTTAACTTTTTTACAATTTTTAAGATCAAATATTTAAAAGAATAGCCAGAGCTATTGTACTCACCTTAGTGTTGGCGTCACACTTTGTCTTCTTTTACTATAAAGCACTGAGAACAGTTGAGTGACTAAATGATATTGTAAATTTGTACAAGGATATGGAGATAATTGTCAACAAACTTTATACTTTATGTATAGATAGTCTGTTGAAATAAAGTGGAAGAAATTATTGTAATTTGGGACATCTCCACATGGCTTTTGACATCTATACCATAGCCATATATCTAAAATTATATTGTTAATAAGCATCGGGGATGAACTTGTTTTTTTCCCCCCTTTTTTGAAGTGTAATCATTTAAATTAATAAGCTAGTCTGTCAGTGTATAGACAGCACTGTCTCTAGCACTGTTTAGTAAAAGTCTTTTTTTTACAGGATTAGTAACATTTCTAGTCATTAAACAGATTGTCTGTACATAGTAGGTTAGCTTGTTTTTAGTAAGTTACTAACTGAAGTTACTTAAATACTATAACCACTGCTACTCCACAAGGAATTCTTATTTATGCAGATTTCTTTTTATTTGTGTACTGAATGACATAAAACTCGGTTCTGTCCAATTACAAATTTTCTTTACTTTTCATATTTTCAACAAGTAGTGACAAATATTTCTAACTTGGATATTAGTATATAAATTTAAAAAACAAAACAACAAGAAGAACAGCAGAAAATGACATGACTTTGTCTCTGTATGTTCATTGTTACAATTTCGAGAACTGTATAAGCCTTAACCCTGCCATAATTAGTGCAATGGATTTGCCCAGCTATGAATTTGGAACAGTCCATTTGAAGTTTAAGGGATTTCAAATTCAAAATTCATAATAAAAATGATTGAGCTGCCCACATGTCCATGCAGTCTAACCAGTCTCTATTTTGGTGGGGAAGGCTAATCACTTTTGGCCCTGTTAAAGATTGGAGCAAAAATATATACTAACTTAAACATTGTTGCCAGTTTGGAGGAAAAACAATTCAACTTGGAAAAGATGACCTGTACAGATTTTATGTTTAGTTAATAATAGATATGATGATTTTTACAACTATTAATCTTCTATGTATCCCATGAATATTAACCTTATGCCACTTTTTGAACAGTGTATGCCAGTATGCCATTGCAAAGTTGCAGCATGTTACTATATTTAGAACATGTCCAGAGCTTCCGGCAGCATCACTTCATGTTACTATTTTTAGAATGTGTATATGTTACTATTTTTAGACTGTATCAATGCCATTATGTATTAATTTTTTTAGACTGTTTATCAATGCCCTTATGTGTTACTATTTTTAGAATGTGTATGATGCTATATGTTACTATTTTTAGACTTTGTATATGAATGCCATTATGTGTTACTATTTTTAGACTGTGTATGATGCTATTACTTAATTAGACTATGTGTGGATGCTATGCTGCGAAACTATTTTTAGATCATTGAATGGCTGTGGTATTAAATAAGTTGTATATTATTATATACATACATTATGTATTTGTGGTTGTGGCTCGGAACATGATGCATGTTATTATTTTCAGACCATATCCTACATACTTTGAGTTGGGTGTGGTATAGCTGATATCACATGACCTATATGTTACTATTTTTAGACCAAGGCGCAAGCCATTCCCAATCAAGGTGTGTGGGATATGAGAGGGAAGCAGTTTTACAGCGGTGTAGAGATACGAGTGTGGGCTATAGCATGTTTTGCTCCCCAGAGAACCGTCCGAGAAGATGCGCTCAGGTGTGTGCTGGTTGGTAGACAGTAGATAAAAAAAAGTAGTTCAGGATCTTTGATGCTGCTTGAATCGTTGCAATGATTACCTGCTGAAATGATTTTGTAACAAACCAATTCTTTATATCAATTTTGAAAAGTTACGTTTGGCCAGTTTTAGGTTTGGTTTGACTACTGTGGATTATGCTTTTAATTTTTTTTTCTCAGTAGTCTTAAGATTTTCAGTAGTTTCAGACCAAGACAAAAAGTGTATGGTTTTTTTCATAAAATATTGCACAAGAAAAATGAGCTGAAATGCAAACCTATCATGAAAATATTTAATTTTTTTTGTAAGTGTGCCAAGTTATAGAATTTCGGTGAACAAAGTAAAGGTTAGAGTTACAAAATCATCAATACTGTAAATATTGCAATGTTTTAAAGCTTGCAGAATTTATGTTGTAAGTATTACAGTGAAATACTTGTACATTTTCTGTAGACAAAGTCACAAGTCCTACCCAATGACGGTGTTTGGGACATGCGTGGCAAACAGTTCTACAGTGGTATAGAGATACGTGTATGGGCAATAGCGTGCTTCGCTCCACAGCGAGCTGTACGTGAAGACGCTCTCAGGTTGGTATAACCTAGCGTGACCCCCAGTGACCCCTTTTTTGACTGCTTGCTTGACCAGTGCATTTTTTTTTATTACAATAAGTATGACAGTGAAAAAAACGTGCTGTGAAAATTGTGTGACCCGTGTTTGTTTTTATTAAGTTTTCTGTCAAGCATGTTTTTTGAAAATTGTGGATTGGTCCAATTTATTGTTCAGATATTAAGTGATGTGTGGAAGTGGTAAGGCTATCACAGATTGGTTATTTTGTGGTGCAGTTTGAAAATTTGTTTCTCCAAAAGGTTTAAATACTATATAATGGTCTTATAGCATTAAGCAGTGTGTTGGTAAATATTGTCTGTGGAGTAATTGTGTATGTTGCAATCAAAATTGTGGTGAATTTAAATTGTCTTTGTTTTTGTAAAAGTTTGTGGTGAAATGCTGTAAAGTTTAAAGGTATATCCCTCAGTTTAATGTTGAAACTCATGTACCGAGGGTTGACAGCAAATCTGTTGTAAGTCCTTCTTTATTTCATATAGGTTACTGCAGTTTTGCGGACAACCCACGTTTTATTACAAAACAAAAACACAAAAACATAATAAACCACAAAACAAGTGTATTTTAATCAGCAAGATTTCATTTAATTTAGTTAAAGGGACTCCACTGGGATTTTTTAACATGCCAGGACTGGAAATATTTTCCTTAGATTTGTATACCATTTGATGTAGGTGTGAACAAATTACTTTTTAGCAAATTTTTTTTATCATACCCTTAACCCTTTCCGGAATAATCATTTTTGATGACCAAAATGACCCAAAAATGAAAATCGTTACTAAGCTTTTTTTACTAAGATTGGGCTAAGAACAACATTTTCAATTTCCAATTTAAGTCTGAGTATATATTTCTTTATCCTTCGCTGATTTACCATTCAATGGATGTATAAAAATTTAAAATTTTAAGTTGTTAAAGACTTTTTGACATCAGTGGAGCTCCTTTAAAGACAAAGTTGTGTTGATCCCTGGAATTGAACTAAGTCAATCTTAATCTGAGCTAATTGATTAATTTAATAGTTGTACTCATTTTCATAACATGGGATGAGTAAGTAAATATTTGAAAGATATCAGCAACATACGTTTTGTTTATGAGTGACTTTAAGGAAAGACATTTGTTTTTGTTCCTGTTAGCTCATGCATGTTTTAATCAGTGATATATTTTCTCATTGACAGTGTGTCTTGAATGATTGAAGATTATTCCAAATTGAATCCCGTTTCATGCCTCTCAGTATTACTTAGGGGTCAGTTTTTGGCTTGTGTTTGTAATTGAGTTGTTTGGACCTTAAATGTTTAACTTGTGAAGAGAAATGAGTTAAGACCTTTCAGCTGAGTAATAAAAGTCTGAAGTTAGTATTTGATCAAATAATTTCAATTTATAAAAAAAAATAGAATTACACAAAATCCAACACAATTGAGTCCTTGCCCTCTTGTTCTTTATAAATGGTCTAATGTGTGATTGTACATTATTGTCAGTATTATCAATATTTTATATCTAAATTTCAAAAATCTTCTGTAAGATTACAAAGATCTTCTGTTAAATTACAAAGATATTCAATTAAATAACAAAGATTTATTTTAAATTACAAAGTTCTTTTATTAAATAACAAAGATGTTAAGTTACAAAAATCTTATGTTAAATTACAAAGATCTTTGTTAAATTACAAAGATTGTCTGTTAAATTACAAACATCTTCTGTTAAAATTATAAAGATATTCTGTTAGATTATAAAGATCTTCTATTAAATTACAAAGGTTTTTCTGTATAATTACAAAGATATTCTGTAAATTACAAAGATCTTTTTTTAAATTACAAATATATTCTGTTTAATTACAAAGATCTTATGTTAAATAACAAAGATCTTCTGTTGAATAACAAAGATGTTAAATTACAAAGATCCTCTGTTAAATTACAAAGATATTTGAAGACTTATTACAGCCTTAACCTGCTGAATTACAAATATAGACTTTTCCATCTTCTATTTTTGAACAGATCATTATAAAATTTTTGGGGAAATGGGTTTTAAAATTTGGGTCAGTAACAGAAAAGAGATGGTTACTCCCACAAAAGGGGTAGGCTGGCCGTCTTTGTACTGGGGATAGGCAAATTTTTTAATATTTTTATCGAGCAGGTTAGGTTTTGCCCCTTTTATGCCCATTGTGAAAAATGTGATGCTATCCCGATGTTTAAAATTTGCAGAACTTAACCCCAATAAAAATTTTTTAAGCAGTTCTAAAATTAAAAAAAAGATGCGCAAATTTTATAAAGGTACAAGATTTACAATAAATATTGCATTGTGAGTTACATTTTATATTACAAGTTATAAAGATTTTTACAGGTTAAATGGCCCAGCATAAACGGTTGTTTGAACATGTAACCCAGGCCACCAGGTGAGGGTTATATTTCAAACAACCGCTTATACAATGTATATGGTCATATAACTTGTCGTGGAATAGTTATAACAAATTTATAATACAGCAAACTTCATTTTATAGAGAAAAAAAAGATAGGTTTATTAAAGCATTGATAAGTCTTTTTTTATAAAACTATATAAATATATAAAAGTCACATTTGTCTAATGAAAAGCTACATTACAAAATGTGCAGTTTTGTAAAAATATGTGGTATTGAAAGGGTCGTAGTGAAGTAATTATGAAGATGATTTGATTTTAATTTGTTTGATATTGCATTTATCAAAGTAATGCCTTTTAACCATCAAATTTGATTTTTTTTTTTTTTTTTAAAGCATTGTCGAAAGTCAATTTATTTGAAAATTTGCTAAATTATCAAATGTAAAAAAAATGTATCACTTTAAGAATGTACTAATGATATAACTTTTTGCATGATCAGGAATTTCACCCAGCAGTTACAGAGAATTTCCAATGACGCGGGCATGCCAATACTTGGTCAGCCATGTTTCTGCAAATATGCCACCGGACCCGATCAGGTTGAACCGATGTTCCGATATTTAAAGAACACGTACCAGGGCCTACAGGTGATAGTTGTTGTTCTGCCTGGGAAAACACCGGTTTATGGTAAGTCTTTGACATTTTGTTTTGTTATTACACCGTCTGCTGGTTTAGTTCATAGGGGGAGCAATCGACTTGTAATCTAGGAGTTGCTGGTTTGCTCCTTATTATATAATTTAGTTTATACCAATTTACTTAAGTTCGATTGTTTGGAAGCTATAAGCTCTTTGAAACAGTCAAAACATTTTCCTGCAACCAACCAGTACAAAGCAATGAGTGTAAAGTTCCTGGCTTACAGAAACAACGGCTTGTCTCTGACTGGGTTTGAACCCATGCGTCCAGCAGTCCATAGATTACTACTTTGACGCGTTAACCAGTCAGCCAAGCCGCCACTCTATTCTTAGGCGGTGTAACATTTCTTTGCGGCAATTGATCTCGAACATTGTGTTTAATTGTTATTTGTCTCGCACCTCTAATTCAGAAATCATAAGGATTATTAGTCAGTCACTTGGTTATTACTGGTTAGTTATCCAAGAAGGTTATTTACTGGTTAGTTATCCAGGAAAGCCAGTAAGGTTTCTTTTAACGACCAAAAATCTGTAAAAATTGGCATAAAACAAAGAAGAACTAGGGTTTTTAGGAATGTACAAATTAAAAGGTGTGACAAACCTGTCCAGTCTTGATGTTGTTACTATGATAATGGATGTGAAGAGTAAAATTCAAGGAAATGTGGGCATAGTTTTCAATATGCCGAAGGTTATTGTGTTTGAAGTATGATATAGATAATAATTAAATTGCCATGAATGCTTTTTTAAGGTTATTGGATATACCTATGATAATGTGTACTATAATCTTGGAACCATCTTAGTTTAAACAATTTTATTATGAACAATGTAAACTTATTACCATGGAAGGTATTAATTGATGGAAAAATGGAAGTAAGCAACTTTTGGTGTCCTCTAAAGCTAAACCGTATTGTCTCCATTTAAAGCCTCCATAGGCTTGCTTATTAGAGCAGGGGCGTTAATTGAAAAAAATACAGTACTTGAAGTTAATGATAAAACTTTACAACATTTGAACGTTGTCTGTTTTTGTATGTAGCTGAAGTGAAGCGTGTAGGAGACATATGTTTGGTTTTTGCAACACAAATTTTCAGGCAAAGAAAGTAAAAAAAGACAACCCACAGACCCTTTTCCCAACCCGTGTTCAAAAAAAAACGTGAAAAATTGGAGGCATCAAAATATATCTTTCCCCAAGTTACGGTGGTAAATTTTATTAGTTATAATCTATGCACTGTGTTAATTGTTTTACTATTAGGGAGAAGTTGTGTGTGCCGCCGGAAGGCTCAATTGGTAGAGACACGGAACAGTATTCCTAGGGTTCTTGGCTCAAGTCTCGGTCATTTTTCACAGTTTTCTTACCCTGTGACAAAAGAACTGCCAGCTTAGCTCAATTGGAAGAGCGTAGGATTTGTAATAAAGGGGGTCGTTTGATTGTCAGGCGGGGCAAAGTTCTAATAATAAAAGTAATCAATAAATAATAATAATAAAAGTGATAATACAGGACCAGTGGTTTTATCCTTTGGAAAGGGGGAAATTTTTCTGTATCAGTTGACCTCGGACATTAAGTATTATGATCATTTAAATTGGTAAAGTTGTCTGATTGCAGAGATATGACCAGATATGATAAAAAAATTGTGTTAAAATTGGTGTTAAAACCAAACAGAATGTAATGTAATAGAAAAGGTCAGTTAATGCTTGAAATTTTGACAGATAACTGAAAAATACTTTAATAGAGAAATTCAGTTTTTATGTGTATAGGCAATCGTATTTAAAAGTGAAAAAAAGTACACAGATGTAAGTAGTAGCGCTATGGATTTTATAATTTTTGGATAAACACTAATGAAAGTACAATACAATTGTGTAGCACAAAACCTGTGAACAACTGAGTTATTATAATGATAAGATAGTCCTTAGTTATTATAATGTGAAAAGAATCATCTGTCCATTATGACTCCTTAATGCTGAATTTGTTATTATGTGTTATATATATAGTCCACCTATGTTCCGACAACCCGTCATATTTCTGGGTGCTGACGTCACGCACCCACCTGCTGGCGATAAGTCGAGACCGTCGATAGCAGCTGTAAGTTAGGAATGTGTCAATCCTTGTCACATTGCATATATGCTTTCTCATGAAGCAATGCGGATATTTCTTTAGATAAGATGATTGGAACTGTTAAAATCCCAAATCTGTCTGCTATTCTAACAAATAGATTGCATCCATTTATTACAGAAACATTCAACCTCTTTGTGCGATTATGCAATGTCTTTCTTGAATAGCTTTGGCCAAGAATGTATAGAATCTTTCTAATTCCTTTCAATCTTGCCTGCCCTGTCCTCTATTGTCTTGATTCTATCTCCAATATCTCCGATTTCATTTGTATTTCTTCATCTTTACTATCTCTCCATATCAGGAGTTTTCTATAACTTGATCTCTGTAACTTGATATTTTTATGAAGAACATGCCCTAGTGTACGACATATTTGCCTGTGTGTATAATTATTCTATTATGATATATATATATGCATGCTATGCATTGACATGTTTTCTTTTATTTCTCCCCACTGTCTTTAATGCATGTATCTTTAAAGACGAGAATATATCTATTGCTTGCAGACCTACAGTATTCCGAGAGCCTGTAATATTCCTAGGTGCTGACGTAACTCACCCGCCAGCTGGAGACGCAAGTAAACCTTCTATAGCAGCTGTGAGTATGAAACGAAACTGCCAGCATTGTCCCTACATATTCTGTACCCAGAGTTGAACGAAAACCAACTTGTTTAGATTAGTTATTTCCTTAGAATACATTCAAAACTTCCCTCTTGCATATGGTCGGATGCATGTACTATATAATATATACTATGTAAATTAAGACACATGGATAATGTATAAGAAAATCGGGCATATTAGAATATTTATGCAGATATAAGTAATGTTGACAAAGAATAACAAGTTTAAAAGAAATAGTTAAAATTGGAATACACATGTACATGTATATAGATTTAAATTTGACAAAGAATGACAAGTTTTAAAAATTTAGTTAAAATTTGATAGATTTATATAGTATGGATATATTTTAAATTTCACCTTAAGTGTCATTTGGAATCCTGTATGGAATTCCTTATATTAAGCTGTAGAATGGTTTATTGGCATGACTGAATTTCTGGTTTCTTATAATTGTGATAAGATTGCTAAGGAAGCAATGCATAGATTCCTGACCTGTCTAATTCTAATTATCAGATTAATGAATACAATAAAAATTTCACCACAACATATTTGTTAACCAAAAGTGCACATTGTCAATGTTTGTGGTTAAATAAATTGTTTTTCAAATAAAAGGTGAGAGTAAGGATCTTACCATTTCCCCTTGCTTACAGAATGTCAATGGTTCTACTCTGGTGCCAACTGAAAAAATGTACCAAATGTTTTCCTTTACCAGTAAAGCTATGAAATCACCATATGACCATTACAGTGTCAAAATCACTTAAAACCTCAACCATAAGTAATTGATTGCTGAGTGAAACACTTACGCCAAAGTTTAATATAAAATGAAAAATAAAAAAGTTGTTGAATGAAACATTAGGCCAAAATAAATATTAAAAAAAATAAAATATTGTTTTCAATATAAAGGTTGTTGCTAGCATGGATGCTCACCCTAGTCGATACTCAGCCACCGTGCGGGTACAACAGCATAGACAGGAGATCATACAGGAACTGGCTTCCATGGTAAAGGAACTTCTCATACAGTTCTACAAGTCTACGAGGTTCAAGCCCACTCGTATCATATTCTACAGAGACGGTGTGTCCGAAGGGCAGTTTCAGTCGGTAAGTTCAGTGTGCATAGTTATTTCTGTGTTACAAAATATACATATTATAATAAATATATAATTATTATTAAAGACACATTATTCTTCAGAAATCTAATTATTCTTAATTCTTTAGAAATGTCAAACATGTGTTTAAAAATGGTCTAATAAAGGATTAAGAGCATGTCAGATGTTTAATAACTTAAGAAAGAAGTGCTGAATGTATAGTATTTGTCGTAAATGTAGCAAATTGTAAACAAATTAGTATTTTGACTTCCGTACATAATACTTATGCACTATAATTATACCAATTGCCAACAGAGCAAAAGTAGCAAAAGATATTTCATGTGTATGGCAAATAAGTTTGTTTGGAAACTGTAACGAGATACCAAAATCAAAACGTTTTTGAAAAATGAAAATGATAGCATTAATGAGGCATAATGGGCCTTTAAGAAAACTGCTTATATGAACCACCTCTTGATCTCTGTAGTACAGTAGATAATTAAATGTAATAAGAATTTGTCGTGACTTACAACACAACCTTAAAATATTAACCATTCTATTTTGTATGATATGAATATCGGGCCATTGGCCTTTATTTACTGAATAAATCCATTGACTTAACTTGAATATAGTCGAATAAACAGATATTGTTAGTATGGTGCAGAGACAATTTGATGTTTTTCTCAAAGATTTTTAGACCCTAAATTTACAAGCAGTATTGTTGGAGGGTAGGGGGAATGTTAACATTTGAAATATGAAACATAAGAGATGCATAACCATGTTTTTTGGGAAAAAAATATTTGGTTTGCAAAAAAAATTTTTTGAAAAAAGAGATTAATGAAATTGAATTTGTAAATTTTCTGAGTTATTAAAACTTGAATGTAGTTGTCTAACCTTATATTTGTTATGAAGACTGAAAAATATATCAGATTGAAGTTTTACTCGCGTTAATTTTATTGAAGTTTTACTCGCATTAATTTTATCATATCATTTGCAGGTATTGTCTCACGAACTGCGAGCTGTGCGTGAAGCGTGTATGAAACTAGAGGCCGAGTACCAGCCAGGTATTACATTCATTGTCGTACAGAAACGTCACCATACTCGTCTCTTCTGCGCTGACAGAAAGGACCAGATCGGCCGTAGTGGTAACATTCCAGCTGGAACCACCGTTGATGTAGGGATCACGCATCCAACCGAGTTTGATTTCTACCTTTGTAGTCATGCCGGTATTCAGGTATGATCAATAACTTGGTTATAAGAATAGATTTAACTCATTACAGGACTGGAGCAGTACCTCTAGACAGAAAAAAAGTTGTAGACAAACATCTTGACAAGTTTCTGTTTTTGGTAATGTTTTATTAGTAGAGTGTGAAAAAGAAAATGTTTCGGTTTTGTAGGCAGTTTTAAGAACTTCGACTCACCACATGATTGTTAAGTTGGCCAATTATGTATTACAGTGGAACCTGTCTAATCCGAACTCGTCCGAACTAGAAGAAAAGTTCGGATTAGAAAGGTTTCCGGATTAGAAGGGGTTTTACATGTTTGTTCATGTTATTGGTAGAATAGTTTAAGGAAAGAAAACTGGAATGCATTTGAAATTACAATATAAATATTTTATTTTTGCAATCCCTTATCATTCATTTTAATACATGTGACTATAAAAATAAATAAATGAAAATATATAATAAGAAAAATGTTATGTCCTCAAGGGAAATTTAACATACGATGTTAAACAGGGGGCTGAGACATGATTAAATATTTGTACCAGCATTTGTCAATTGTTTACCAGGATTTGTCAATTGTTGTTTACTCTTATCCGATTCAGCGATTATCCGAATTCATTGACATTTTCCATTTATTTCCGTTACGTAATCACGTGTCATTAAATTCGTTACAAAAGATTAAAAGATATTTCTATTCCATAACATCAAAATATTTATTGAAGGTGACGAAACACAATCAATTAAGCAATTAACGTAAATATTAAGGCAAGCTAAGTGTAATTTTCACACCTTACCCGATCATACGTTTCACCCATTAATCAAGCGAGATTACTCTTATTAGTTTGGTGAATGTTTACACCTGCAAGATGTATGATTATTTGTTATTTTGAATGTAAGTGTGACATTGGCAAAATCTGTTCGGATCCGAGAGGTTAATTTCATAGTAAAATAAGAACAAAAATTGAAAAAATCGTCCGGAATTTGGAGTAGACAGGTTCCAGATCCGAAAGGTTTTTTACTAATGAAAATAGAACGAATAAAATCGGGACCGGACAGTTCGTTTCGATAAGAAAGGGTTCCGGATTAGGAGGGTTCGGATTAGCAAGGCTCCACTGTATTATCATTTAACAGTTCCATTTGAATTAAAATGTTGAACAAGGCATAAAAATATGTGAGATATATATGTAAAAAATAAAGATATGCCCTTGTCTTTCCTGCTGTCCTATGTAGACTGACTAAATAGTGGAATGTAAGGACATGAACACTTTGCAATTTGGTAATATTTCATTAAGCTTTTAGACTGTTTTTATCTTCGTACATTAGGGTACAAGCAGACCATCTCACTACCATGTATTATGGGACGATAACCGATTCTCGGCAGATGAGTTACAGATGCTCACGTACCAGTTGTGCCATACGTATGTCAGGTGTACTCGCAGTGTCTCCATTCCAGCTCCGGCTTATTACGCTCATCTAGTAGCGTTCCGAGCTAGGTACCATCTCGTAGAGAAAGAACACGACAGGTAAGTTTTTAAGTGATACACAATAATTTCTTCTCTATTGCCAACTTTCTCTCTGTTAGGAAGCACTTAAATACATGAATGTGTAGATAACCACTTCTTCCACCATTCGGAATGTTCTGTTAAACTTTCTCTTTAGCATTTGAAATAGATTGATTGATAAAAGATACTGAATATATCTGAAAATCTTTGAGCATGTAACTTAGCATTCAAATATATGACCAATATTTTTCTCTCTCAAAATGACTTTATTCTTGCTTGATGCATACCTTGAGGTTAAAATGTAGCTCTGAACTGAATATTGCATTGATGAATCAAATGTGTATGATCTAGTCTGGCTTTGGCAAAAGAAAGAGTTCTATGTCAGGTTTCCTAGTATCTCGATTATTAAAGAAAAGGGAGAACTATTGTAATTACCCTGGGGTCAGCGTCACACTTTCGTTAAGTTTTTGTGTGCAAGTTGATAGAAGAATTCACCGACTTATTTGAGAGCATAATGGACGTCATTGTCCGAGGCCCATAACTCGAACTTGGATGTCGCCAGAATTATGGCCTTTTTTGAACTAAACAAACCCTACATTTTTTGCTATTAAGCATGGAGAAAAGTTGAGGGTGCAGTCCTTCTGACTGCTTGTGTAATTTATCTTTTCGGATTTCCAGATTTCCAGAATCATTTCTTTACCATAAATGAAATTTATATTCCAATCGAAATACCCCCTATTTGCCGGGTCAAAGAACAGAAACAAAATCTGTAAAATTACTGAAAATGTTAACAAACTTTTTCAAAGTTTTTATCTGACTTATTGTAATTGAAATACCCTCTTTTTAGCCAGGTCAAAGACCAGAAACAAAACTCTGTTTGGGGGGGGGGGGCCTCAGTAAAATGACTGAAAATGTTTTTCAGACTTTTAGAACGGAATGATGAATTTATGTTTATGCAGCCAGCTTGTAAACTCTGTCTAAATTCTTGTTATGTTATGTTTTATTCCAGTGGCGAAGGCAGTCGATATTCCGACAACAGTGACGAGAGAGCACCGTCAGTGATGGCACGTGCCGTTACCGTGCACCCTGACACTGTCAAGTTCATGTACTTTGCATGAGATCCCCGTGCAATTATAGCAATTCTAGATCCACCACTTGTGCATTGCGTGAAATATACTTGTGTAGCTATTCTTTCATGGTGATGTGTACTTTCAGTCAAAACATGCAAGCCCTTCCTTTTGCATGGAAAAAAAATTTGAGCGGAATTTGATATGGGAGCAAGTTCAAATTACTGACCAGTTTCTTCTCTTCCTTCACAGAAAAAACATTTGCCAAAGAAAATTTCATGTGTTTTGTGGAGAAACTAGTAAAACATAGTCGCATTTTTTGTGCGTAATGCAAGTTATACGTGAAAAAGAATTTGTTCAAATAATTGTGAAAGTATTGGAAAAGTTGTGTTTTTTTTAAGAAAAAGTAGGTAAATGAATGATAATTGAAGAAAAGAACATATCTGAAAGTGATCATTTTTTCATTTAAAAAATGCAAGGGTAGATATATATAATAAATGGGTTTGGACTTTCAACAAATCGTCAAAATTTTCAGATATTTAGTTACAGTGAAGATATGAGTCTGCAATGAGATATATTTGATATATTTTTAAATAGGAATCTGTAAGATATACTTGAAAGCAGCTATAAATCATGTGAAAGTGTTGTGACTATAGAAACGTTCGGCCTCTGGATTGAGGTGGCATGTGGCTGGGGGGAGGAATGTCTTGTTTTCTGTGACATGTATGTGATAAAAGAAATAGTGATAAAAGTGTGTTTGTATATATGAGAGAGTTATATCTTGTCAAATGTGTGTATAAATGTAGAAAAGTATGACAATTTGTAAATTTTAAAATCTCTTCTTTTTAAAATTCTAAGTTTTTGTTTTAGTAGTATGCTCAGATCTATTTATAATATGTGAACATATGATCTTTTTTTTTATAAAAGGTACAAAGCTCTATGTAATGAAATATGTTTAAACGGTAAACTTGTCGTTTTCCATAATCCAATACAAAATGATTTGATTTTTTTTCCTGTTGAACTAATATGAATTTTAAAGATAAAGTTTATAACCAATTAATTCACTTGTTTGACTAAATTCACTTGACACAAGAAAGGACTGTAGGAATTTTTTTCTTCATTTTTTTATATCTTGTATTTTTAAAATTTGATGTTTTTATAATTTCAAAATAACGTCGTAACGGACACGATTGGAGTGTGTTGAGATTTCTGTCTTTCAGCAGTGAGGGAAGTAGCCGGCACTCGTCTGACCACAGTGATGACAGGACGGGTAACCTAATAGCTCGGACCGTTACGCTACACCCGGACACAGTCAATGTCATGTACTTTGCTTGAGCTTCTGGCATTCTGCCCAGTTTGGTCATGACAGATAAAAAAAAAAAAGAAATCTCAAGATTTTGGAACTGAAAATTTTTTTTTTAATTTTTTTTTCAAGGTTTCGGAACATTTCAAGATATGAATGACTTAAGAAAAGAAATGTATGGATGTTATAGAAAAATAGGTTATCTGAAAGGAATTTTTGTGTAAGATGTGTTTTTTTGATATACATGTATATATAAGAAATTGTTTTATTATTTCCAAAATGGCGGGATTATTTAATGACTTATGTATGTAAATAGAAACAATCATCATTATAATTGTCATGTTTGACTATGTGATGTCTACTTGCCACAAATATCATTTCATCTGAATTTTATTTATTTTTTTTTTTTTGCTACTTTGCTGTTTTTCCTACATAAAGAATAAAAAATGTTCATTAGTTGTAAAAAAGAATTTTATACTTCAGTTTAACAGTTCATAAACATTTGTGTTAAATCATTTATTAAAAAAAATATGTAATAGAAATTTGGCCCAGTTTCATTGTAATAGTTATAAAAGATTCTTTTTAATTTTTATTGAGTCGTAAGAAATACTTTGACACCCCCTTGAAAAAAATACCCTCCTTTAAATTCAATTATTAGAGAAAATTTAAATAACAAGGGTTTAAAATATTCATGTGATTCAGTAATGCAAAAAAATTATGCAAAGAAGTAGTAAAGATTTTTATTCGTAATGAAAAATGGCCTATATTCTGCAGAATACTCTTTACTTAACTTTACAATGATACACATGTCGAATATTTTGTTACGGTTGAGGATATTTCATAAGAGGTAATTGTAGCGTATGTAGAAATGTGTAAAGTGTGCCGAGGAGAGAGGTTTCTATGTAGCGGGCAGCTTTTATTTATTTTAGAATGTACAGACTCTTATAGTGTGTGTTTTATATATATACATTATACCATTACGGCATTTATCATTTGATAGGTTGAGTTATATTTTAAAAAAAGGTAAATTTGTTTTAATATATCATGGTAAAAGGTTGCATAGACTTAAAATATGGTTTGGGGGAAAAGGTTGCATTCTTAAGTTTTCTTAGGGGGTATAGTCACTGAATTTGTACAGATTGTCACCTTAGCGCGATAAGTGATTAACTCCTATTGAATTTAGAAGAACTTAATATGTTACTGCACTTAGGTGGAAAATAAATTGTGAATAGACTGGATACGTTACTTGAATGAAAGCTTTTAGGATTGATACAGAATTCAATATTTTCAGGCAGGAAAAAGCCTCCTTTTTTCAACCGGGACTGTGAAAATAAAATGCTTAATTCAGGATTTTTTTATTTTTTTTTTAATGTTTTGTTAAAAGACCTTAATGATGACTTTGATATAATAAAATTTCTGTTGTTGTTGGTTTTGATACAATGAATAAATTCTGCATGAAATAAATGATATAATGACTTTGTAAACTGTGTTAGGGAAATGGTCAATTTATATGTTAAATTGTGTCGTTAATTAAAGTAATTAGTGAATGAAATTATTCACAAATTATGTAATGATTATGTACGGAAAATTAGGATTTTGTATAAATCATGTAATTATGTACGGAAAATTAGGACTTTGATTCCTGTAATTATGTACGGAATAAATTGTGTAATTATGTGCAAAAATGAGGACTTTGAATAAATTACATGCAGTAATTAGTAGTTTGTATGAATCATGTAATTATGTACGGAAATTAGAACTTTGAATCATGTAATTATGTACGGAAATTAGAACTTTGAATCATGTAATTATTGATGGAAATTATGACTTTGTATAAATCATGTAATTATGTATGGGAATTAAGACCTTATATATGAATTTAATGAATTTCTAGAAATTATGTCAAGAAAAAGTGTCTTTGATTGTGTCTCATTGTATGAACATTACTGTCAAGTGGCGTGCTTGTTTTAGCTTGTATAAGTTCTGTATAATAACCCACAAGCTATGACTCGAGTCGTGTAATGTGAAGAAAATCTTTATTAAAAATTTATTGTATAAATTGATAGAAATTTGATAAACATGTAACTCGAATGTTGGTCACAAAACTGTTTTAAGTCCTTCTTTATTTCATGTAAGTTATAGCAGTTCTGCGGTCAACCCTCGATATATCTACAATGTGTGCTAATTTGATAACATAATGCCATAGTTCTTTAAAACAAAGAGATTTACATATGAGCCGCATCAATACAAAACCAACATAGTGTGTTTGCGACCAGCATAGATCCAGGATCCATGCTGTCCGCTTATTAACTCTATTACAAGTAGAGAAACTGATAGCGAACAGCATGGATCCTGATCAGACTGCCCGAATGGGCAGGCTGGTCTGGATCCATGCTGGTCGCAAAAGCACTACGTTGGTTTTGTCGTGACGCAGCTCTTATATTGTTCAGTGTTGTAGGCTATTGATTATAATATAGGTAGAGATAATGTTTGTTTCGTTACATTACGATCACAAAATTGAAAGAATTTGATAGGTTATTGTCTGTAGACAGTTTGATCCACCTTGTTTTATTTAGTCCACCATTTTCGTAAAATAAAGTACATGTATTGTTAAAAAAGTAAAAAAAAAAATTGAAGTATTTTAGTGCCACATTATATGATTGAAAATATGTATTTTCCATATGTTCAAAAAATTTAGCCTTGTAACTCCACAAAATTTCATACTAAAGTATAGAATAATTAAATCACTTTTTATGAAAGCAGTATGGTATAGATTTAGTTGATCAAATAACAGAGAAAAAAACACAACCAAACAATACATTTTCAGTTATATTTTTCCAATGCCTAAAAGGTTGGGTTTTTTTTACTTTTTTTTTTTTGCAAAAATATAGCGGGCAAAAATGTTGGATTAGGTGGATTATTAGGTGGATTAAGTATAAAAGAATTCTAGGATTGGTGGATCGAATATAAGAGAATGATTTGAATTCTTTCTGAAATATTTTATCCAATATGCTTTAAAACAGTATATTTTAGTTTTGACACTTTGTTGCTAAATAAGAATAAGGTACTCTAATTGAACAATTGATTACAAAAAACAAAATAGGAGTAATAAAGGAACAAACTTGAAAATCAAAATGTTTATCCATATAACAAACAAGTATAAAAAAACAAACAAGCAAAGTTAAGAGATCAAGATTATTTAATGATCAAAATACGAAGGCTTGCTTAATGTCCTTTATGTATTTTATATATTTTACTTTCTTTTGTATCGTCCCACAGATCAAATAATTCAACAACGAAATACAAGACGGTGATCAAATTGAAAGTTTAAGTTTAAATCATGATCAAAAGTTGCTCAAAAAAAATATTAAAAGCACAAATTTTGACATCATTCATTCCAGTCCTTTAGCTCATTTTATTAATCACTTTGAGCAGGGTTTTTCTTTTTTTAAATTTAACAGATATTTTTTTTACCCTGTTGCATTTTATCCCCCTCACAGCTTTGCCTGTATGAGAAATGTCATGATTAGCATAGATTTATTCGATTTATGTTTAGTTATGGCAGATTGTTCTTTTTCTTTTTTTTGTTGTCATTTAAACTCCTAGGAATCTGGTGATTTCTTTAATCGTAATTGTTTTGCATATTTCATTTTTCACCAAAATTTACAAGAACCTTGAATCTAAATGATAACCTGGTCTGATCAATTGAATCTTAGATATATGTTTAAGTTTCTGATCTGAAGTCTTAAATGAATCTGTCCAAACCAATATTTGTGGTCATCTGAAAAACCAGACTCAAGGCTATTGTTTCATTTACACTTCATATTTGCTTCGGAACATATCTAGATGGCAAACTTGAGCTTTAGGGACAAAAAATTTAATCTCATTTTGTTCAAATATGTTTTTTTTTTTTTTAAATTCTATTGTGATTTAACCCTGATGTGCATTTTCTCACCTTAGTGCAATAACTGGTTAACACTTAGCCTGTTACTGGACTAAGGTGACCAATTTTGATGTTGAATAGACTTAACTTAAAAGTCGGATGAAACAAAGTTCATCACTTATACGTATTATGTACATGTGAGTAAAGAG